ATTAATTTTTAAATTATCGGAAATTGAAGGAGTATGTGCATAGGGAGATGACGATTTAAATAAAAATCAAATCATCAAACCAATTTAGTTATTATTCATTGTAAGCAAAAAATTAACATAACCTTTACGTCAAAATAAACAATAGTTTTTCATGCGCCCGTAAAATTGGAATAGTAAAGTCTCGATCATCTCTAACCATCCATTGGGTGTGCATCGACAGATTATAGTCCAAATTATGACTCTACCATTTCTTTCAGATCTTGCAGAAGTAATGTCAGTAATGCAGGCACCTCCAGCCCCTGGAACTCCAAAAAAGACAGACGACAAATCATTCTTTGATGTATGTGGATATTAATTAATGGCAGTTATGTAAACTTTCAATTTTTAGTTACGTACGTCAAGACGCACATATAACTTCTGCGCGGCCGACGTCATTTCTGCACAAGAGTGGATAGAAAAACTTCAGGCTTGCCTTCAATAAAGCTGTAATCCAAAGCTCCTTTTAGTCATAATGTTTTATATCAGTTGACAATAAATGTTATTTGTTTGTAAAAAAATATGTTAGTTTATTGAATTATTGAGCGAGCATTATGTACGCAAAAAAAAACAAGTTATTTCGCTTAACACGCGCTTGCTCAATAAATAATAAAAGTAGGACTAAGTTACCTAAATATAAATATGCAAAATATGGATCTCTAACGTTTAATGCTGCAGTTTTATGTATGCAAATTTTTATACTGTCGTCCCTATTTAATCAAAACTTTCCAACTTTTGTTCTTTGTAAAGCCGAGTGGCATATGTTTCCTGTTGTAAGTTGTGTTTAGATATTTCTATAAATGTTTTGTAAATTAGTGATATACTTTTATTATGCAGACTTAACTTGCTTTTGCTATTGATCCTATAATTAACACTAAGCAATGCTGTGCTTTTGTACCATGGAAAATGCAGGGCATCTACGACGTGATTCCAAAGTCGGTTGGATGCTCTTTAAATTTGTGTACTAGCTACGATGTGCATGTTTCCATTGACAGCACATTTCTTCCAAATGCACAGTATAAGCTGCTCTGCCTCTTCCAACAAATGGCAAAAGCAAGATGTGATGCCAAGGCTCTCTTTTCCTTGTTAACTATTTTTATTATTATACCTGTCAGTATCACTGCATATCACAAAGTTTTCTTGTATTTTTGATAGTCAGGGAATACACTTTTTTCTTTAATTACCAAAATTACATCAGATTTACCATTTACAATGTGAACAAACAAAATATAGTCATATCAAGTTTTATTTTCTTTACTTGTAAATAATGTTTTCTCTCACAGTCAGAGAACTGCCAAGTCAGACTTGATGTAAGATCATAGAAATATACTTTTAAAGTAACCTCCTCTTTTTATACAGGTTGCACGATTACTTTAATTGCCAGTTGGTTATTGTCGATGAATCCTTGCGTGAATAAGTCTTCAATCAAAGTAAATTCGGTATACCCGAATCCTCTCGGATTTAAATCTTGCACTGGTCTTTTGAACGCTTCCAGTTCGGGTCTAGTCATCATGGTCTCTCGCATGTTGTGAAACGACTCTCTAAAATTAAGATTAGAACCAGTTTTTAACGGCGAAATACTCACAGTGGGTGGACGATAGTTACTGAAATTCGCCCACTAAATGGCCAGTCTAAGCTGTTGTCGTGATCGGTTTTCATCATATGAATTAGAATAGCTATGGAGTTTGGGTCTTTTGGTGATAGGTTGAAACGTATACACAGTCTGCAAGTTTAATTAACGAACTTGGTTACAATTGTCTGTCACTTACTTGTACCCATTCGGTGACGTATAAAAGCCAGAACTGTAGTGCATGAGTTGGTGGTTAACCCGCATTTGGTTAATTTTATTTTTAAAATCCGTAATATGCCATAAATAGCAACCATTGCAATATCGCAATGACAATTTGGACATAGCCAAATTATTTGCAGCAATTTGTTCCGACATATTTGCAATTATTATGTCTTGTTCTCTGGTCTTTTGTTCGAGCACAACAATTTTTTCGTATAGTGATCTGTGGACAGATTCCAGACCATTGCCGTTTCAACTGAAGTATATTACCTTAGCAAGTTATGAACAGATTCATTAGAATTTGAGGAATTTTGCATTGATCCATTCGCGTCGTTTTTTGATGGAGGGTCCCAAAAGTTCGCCTGCTCTGCTATAGCTGCGGTGCTTGAAGATGCAGAGTTACTTAATATAAGTTTCGAATATGCTTGAGATATTAGCTAAAACAAATCCCATAATCAATATACAGAATGTTTATTTTATTTGGTCCAGAACTATAGAAGTTATGAGGTTGGTTAAATTAGCAATCAATTTCTATTTTACAAAACTATTTTAATGAGAAGGGAAAAAAATTTTTGCAACCAGTGGTTCACAAACTGTGGATACTACTTACTACTTTGTTATTTTAAATGGAGCTATATTTCTTTTATTTTCTTATCGGCAGAGAATTTTATTCTGAATTTAGTGATATAGGTAATATTTATATACTCTTAGATAACAACTTTTATGAGAAAAATGCATTTATATTAGTTTTATTTTAAATTGACAAAATTAACGAATATGTGATAAACAATTACTTAGAAACAAAAACCCAACAAATACATAAATAAAAAATACTAAAAGACGGGGCAAGCCGTTAATACTAATCCACTGATTCGGGAACATATCATTTAAATATTGCATTACTCTTTGCTCATTGTGGGCAGGTACACCGTCTTGTTGATAATATAAATCTCTTACAACATTTAAGGGGACCTCACCTAGCATATTTGCCAACGTGTCTCTCAAAAATTGTAAGCACTGATCACCCGTGAGCATACCTTCATACATATAATAAAATATTTTATCTTTCAAAATAGCACACGAAATGTTAACACTACATTTTCTGTGAAATCGTTTCTCACGCACAATTATAGGGTTCTTGGTACTCCAATAATGATTATTTTTTGTATTAAACATGCCATTATTTGAAAAATTTTATTAATCTGTCCAGATAATAAATTTTAAAGTCTCTTCCTTCGTTTAACAAAAAATCACAAAACTCAAGGCATCTTGCATGGTCTCCAAGACATAAAAAGGTATTTTTTCTTGCTGTACACTTCGTAAATATCCAAATTTTCATTATTTTCTATTAAATTGAGCTAGTATTAACACAACAATAATAATTCAATTGACAGTTGTAAACCCCATAAATAGAGCTATTTGTTTCTGAATCTGAATCCATATTCCACTTGTTTCCTCCATGGCACACTTAAGTTTTTTCATTAAAATACAAATTGTTTGCTAATTTATCCGACCTCATACCTAGCTCTTATAGTTCTCGAGCAATAGTGGACAAAATAAAATGAATACTCGATATATGTATAACTCTTCCGTTACTGACAAACACAAACTACTGGGCGTAGCAAGCTGAAACTTGGGGATTGTAAGGGAGCACTAAGAGAGGATTTCTTGAAATTCATAGGGAACGGGAGACTTGAACATTTGGAAGGAATATTAGAAGGTGTTAAGGTGTACACTCGGGTATACATCACAGCACAATATTAAGATTCAAAGCATATTTGGGAATTTTTTTACCTGAATAAATATTTACCATCAAGTGTTTTTGAGTTTCTTGCTCCATATGCCTTTGTTGTTCGGGTTCATCTTCAAATTTAGCATCACAACCGAAAATGACAAAGTTACACCTTAACTTCTCGTTCTCTGGTAATTTAGGAAGTCCATATTTACAGTGTGTTAGATGTATCTCTACATCCAAAGGGGATAAATCTTCCAGACAACCTCGCACGACGTTAGGGCACTTTAAGCGCTGCTGCGAAATTTCTCTTCTGGTGAAATTATCTGGGAATATATCGTGATCTTTATCTAAAGGTTTGTTATCAACCGGACAGGCATTTTCTCTTCTAAAAAGAAAGTGATGAAATGCGTGTAACGGGTCGCGAATACGTACTCCAACCAGGATTGTATGCATTTACGGCAAAATCTGTGACCGCATGATGTTTGCATGGGATCCCGTAGCCATGCCAAACAAATGGGACATTCGAAGCGAGCCTCAGGAGCTTGTAATGGATCTGTTTCAGCTATTGAACTCTCCTGGGCCATATTCACGATGGGATCACTTAATTCTAATTTAGCAGCCATTGCTTTAAGAAACGCACACCCAAAGAAATGTCCTTGGCACCTGCTAAGTGACTACTGACCAGCATTTCGTACAAGAATGTTAAGTGAATCACATTAATAAATTCAATAATTTGTAGGTAGTGGGGTTGCTCAGGTACGTTATGAATTTAAATTAAAGTTGGAAAGCTCGGATCATTAAAAAAAACACCAATTTCCATGTTGCCTGATTGCTTTTTTTATAAGAAAAATATCGAATCAACTGTCAGGATTTCCTAGAACCAGGTGGCGGCTTCAGCGAAGTGAAGTGAGACACAGACAAAAACATCTGGCTGTCAATCTTTCAGAGCCAGAGCCACAGTGAAAAAAACTTTTTTGCTAAAACATAACCCATGTGATTTACTTAACTTAAAAAGAATTTTATTTATTTTATTGAAATGGCCGAAGCCACCGATTTTAGCATTTTCAAATCTGTATTCTTTTACTCCATATTAATTTTATTGCTACCAGTAGTCGCATTTTTCGTTAGTAAATTAATTGTATTCGATGGTAAGTAGGTCTAATTTTTGAAAGCCATGGGAACAAGGTGCACATTGTTTTTAGCCATGTTCAGCAAATCGGACACAGCGAGTAATGTTACATCTGCAATAATTGCGGTCGTTGTACTGCACGGCGCATTAGGATTGTTCATATACAAAGCCTATTCCGATCCAGAAAAGGGTCGGGAGAAGAAAGATGACAAGATCGATTAGTTATCTACAATGATTATATACTGTTCATAGTGTTAAGTGTGTTAAGGATAAGGATTTTGTTTACGTAGTATGTATGTAATATATTTGGTGGTAATAAATTTGCATGTATTACTATGACATCTTTCAATTCTGTACAAAAAATGCTGTCTTCGTTAGTTGTACTTGTATTAGTCCGGGAAATATAAAAATGGGCCATTTCCTGTAAAACAAGGAGTAGTTCCACTTTCTTCTGCATGTCATGGAGGGTCATCTGGTGATTATGAATTTTTCACATTCCCACCCCTTGTGCTTCCCTGGTACCACCCCTAAAATCCAGACATACTTTATAATTAAGTCGTATGAGAAAATATGCTCTTTACATTAACTGATCTGGCACACCTTTGTCTGACAAAGGATTGAAGATTGCGCTTTTGGCACGGCATCCATTGTTAACTTGAATCATAGTAATCAGATCAGATCTCCAATGCTCTAGATTAGACAAAAAAGGTGCCTTTAAAATAATAGCAGACAGGTAAAAAATTTGATTACTCGCTTATCAGTGAAATGCTCATGGTTGAGAAGATACTGCTTTATCTTGGTATCTATATAGGTACATGACTATACCTATATAGTGGTGTAAATTTTGGATATTTACGATAGCCCTCCTGTGACCTAAATAAATAACATGTTAGACCAACCAGTCCATCAAAGAGTGCAATTGAGTGCCATCTCTTACCACCAATTTGTCTAGGAATACAGTAGAGAAGATGACTCATATGGTTAGATTATTAGATACAAATTACGTGCTTCAATTGTTTCAAGGAAATAGCCCATTTCAGTGTCTTCTGTATGTTTTCCGACGTGCATCTAAATAACTGACGACCAAAAATGAATTGCTGCGCCTTGGGAAATTGAGTATGATTTACCATGTAAACAAAAATTCCAAGTGACTCGACAGCAACTCATTTTTGATCGCATAGTATGTTAGGCTGAAATGCCACTTCTGTACCAAAGGCCGAATTAGTTCCTCCCTACCACATTGAAGGTGCAAAATTACATCCTGAAGGACAATTGAAAAATACTTTGCTTGTGTGTGTTCTAAACATTGCTATAATCCTTTTGGACTTTTAGAATATACTGCTTTTTGACGTCGGCGCTAACTTATCTGGTTTGTCTTGACACAAGATCGATCACTTTGTGGGATATGGTAGTTAGCTTAAAATGATGTCACAAGTGCATTATACGCCAGAATAAGGAATGTGATTCCTGGTTATTACAAGGAACATTTTTTAGGCAAAAGACAAACAGTGAGAAAGTCATTTTTATTACATAATTCTAGATTCTTTTACAATTATTCATGTTGACAGATGTATCAAAAGTCTAAAATTAATAAATTTTAAGTAACAATTAAGAGGGATCTACTCTTTGTTTGTATATAAAAAATATTGAACAATTTTGTTAACATCATCTCAGAATGAGGCAAAATTAATAAACAATTTTCTGAGAATTCTTCCTTTAGATAGACAACTATAGTCACACCTAATGCAACATCCATCTACGAATTTTAATTGAATATATTAAAAAAATGTAAGATTATTTATTGTCGGAAGCATAAGAACATAACACTTATACTCTTGATTATCTTATGCGATTTTTAAATTCAATAATATTGTATATTTAATAATATAGTATAATATACTTTCAAAACTTCATTTCTAATTGCACTAATCGAACTGGACAAACTATTGCGAAAGCACCATATTACATTAATCAGTCCTTTTGGTAATTTAATTTCATTACTGTTTTATTTTACTAACATTTTGGCAACACAACGAAATTAAATGTACCACTTCAATAATTTGAAGATACACCTAACAGCTTCATATCTACCAACAGTTAATCAGAAGTGTAATTTTGATACAAAATTTCACCGTACAGCAGATACTAGCTCAATGCTCACCATTACCAAATAAATATATTAATCCTACTGTTCTTTGTCTAAAAAAGAGTTGCCCAAGTTTTTTTTCTCCAAAAATTCCAACTAAATAAATTACTAAAATAAAATGCAAATGATAACATTCTGAAATAAATGCAAATAATACTAACTTAATTTCGGAAGCTTGCGCGAAAGTACCTACTGGCAACTCCCATTAATGCCTAGTTTTCCAAACTATCATTAAATACATGATTAGTGAATCATTCAACTAAAAGAAATCACGAATTTAAGAAAAAATAAGTGAGAATTACACTATCAGCATGACTATGGTTTAGACACCCTATTCTTAAATACATCACAGAATTTTTACAAGAAATCGAAACTTTGGAGATCATAAGGTAAATCTAAAAAACCATGCGTGTTACGAATGTGAAATGATATGTGATAAATTATTTTTTTAAAGTAATTTAAGAAAGGTCATCACATGAGTTTTAAGCGTATATATACATTTGCTTACAAGGAACTGCTCGAATCTCCGGGGAAATGTAACAAGTTTTCGCCACTATATGAGGGGGACGGCGAAGCACGACTTGCTGAACTGAAACTGCTTGTTGAACTTAAATCTTCGGTGTCGCGGTAAATACATTCCACTGCCTGTTCTCCTCCTGAAAGTTAAAGTTTGGAATGTAACAAATTTTTCTGAAGCATCCTATATGTATATGATTTTTCAAGACAATGGTGCTTCAGCTTTTTTTGGTCCATGTCCACTCAATCTCGATGTGGCATTCGTGTGAAAATGGAAACTGTGTAAACATCCAATAAAGGAAAGCACTTTTGACGTTAAATTGAATTATTTTGAGTCCTTCACGTGTACACACGCTCAACGGGGAATGCCCCGAGTCTCATCACACGGTAGAGCTGAAGGTTTCAGTGAATTCAATCCCTTCATATATCAGATACCCTTGACTACAAGACACGCCTTGTAATGCTCCACTGAACCCTGAGTTTAATGTTGGTCAGTCTAAACTTTATTATTTCATTATTTTTAGTAAGAAAGTGTGTTTGCTAAGTACTCAGACTGGCGTCCAAAAGTAATTGGAAAAAAGAACACTACATGGGACAGATAAAATGGAAAAGACACTACTCGAGTATCTATATGTAGGCTATTAATAATAAACAATGCAGTTTTTGGTTTTTTTAATTATTCTACAAATGTTAAAATTTTGGTTAACGCTAGCCTAATGTGTTCCAAACTAGAAAGATGATATAATTACAATGACTCCTTATAAATAGTATGAATATATAACGTTACAATCTTTTTTTTAAACAATGATAAGATATACAGGCATTTTCTACACTAAAACTACTTAAAATTAAATTAAAATTATAAAAAGTTCGAGTCGCTTTTGGGTTTTATTACTTACGATTTACTAAAAAAATAGAATTTCTCTACTTACGTATAATATTGTAATTTTCTCACCAATGAAATAAAGTGGAGACTGATAAACATAACGTAATTGCCTAGATGTTAGTCATAAGATAATCTTTCAAAAAATCCTTGAATAGTTTGCAAAATTTACAAGCAACACTCCATTAATTTTTGTTTTGGTACTTTTATAAATTTTTTTTGCGATATAAGCATGATAGTGATGAAAATTAAAGTTAATGTGTTTGAGTTAAGTAGGTATATTAGATAGTAGATGCACACCAGCAAAATAAGTAATTCTGAAATTGTCTACAACGTGAATTTGTACTAATAGCAAATTTATGGCTGATATGTTATTGAAAATTATTATTAGTGGTTTGTAATTAATGCAAAACAATGATCCTACACATAATTTTATAAGACAAAAAGTGGCTGTAACATAATCACTGGGATAATCAACAATCACAAAATAGTTTCACCTACGCCACTTTCTTATCAAATCGAAGGAATTGAGATAACAATGTACATCTATTTCGATTATAAACAATAATGATCAATTAAAGTTGAAGTAGAAAACAGACACCAATCCAATCACAGGGTATGTAGCCAAAACTACAGACTACAGACCTTCTGCTTGGGATTGGGCAACTTAAAATCGTCACAGTTCCTAAAAGTATAATATGAACACATTTTTTTTTATTTCTAAATTATAAAAATTAACAACGAACTCGTGAATGCCCTAAACTTAAATACTGAATTAAGTCTTATCGTTTTTTCTTTTTTGATTTTTTTTTAATACTTTTATCAGAAGCCGACGTATCCTTCATGATCACCGGTTGACAGCTATCTTCTTCTGTATCCATCGCGACTACCTTACTGATGGAATCGTCGCTTTCTGTTGCCTCATTTTGCGAACTGTTCTCATCGGATTTGCTTTCTTGTTTTGGATCTTCTGTGTCTTTATACACTCGTTCAGGTTGTAGTACGTCTGAATTGCACATATCCTCGTTCGGATCGATCTCGAAAAGTAGCTGTTTTGCTGCAGTGGAATATGACTTTTTTGGCAAGTCTTCTTGTGCAACTTCTTCAATTTTCTCAGAGGTAGGTAGGTCTAGAATGGGGGGTGGCAATTCTAATTCCGCCGGTTTAGACGATACAATGCTGCTCCAACTCTTCTTCGCCGGGACTGTAATATCTGCAAAGGCTTCAACCTCCTTCTCCAATTCTTTCGACTTACTTAGTCTAACGCCCAACTTCGCCTTGGGTTTCCTAACTTTTTTCGTAGAACTTTTTTCTTCCTCTGAAGACAACGTAACCTCCTCTATTTCTCGATTTTGTTTCCCTGTCTTAGGAATTTTGTTTTCTTTTTGCAAATCCATGACATCCGTCGAAACTTCAGCATTTTCTGATTTGACGTCTTCAAATTTTTCTTCCTTTACCGAGTCACTTTTATTAAATATTGGAGAGAAGGTAAACTTTTCATGTTCATTGCTGTCATCGTACAGCTTTGGCTTGATTGGAATAGGAAAGTTGAATGTAGTAACACTATCGACAAGGTCAGGTGTAGAGATCAACGTTTTTAAATCCGGCATACCTTGAGAATCTCCATTGTGTAGAATAGGATCTAAATTGTGTTTTGTATTTGACTCTACAACTTTCTCTTTCTCGCAACTTCTGTCTCTTAGTTTAGATTTGGATTTCTTCTTCTGAGTTATTATCACATCTACGGTTTTTTCTACTTTAACCTCGTTTTGACTAGCATTTTTATGTTCTAATCTATTATTTTTCACCGGAATTTTATTTAAGTCCGTTTCAACTTTTGCTTTTAAACAACTAAGGCTCATTTTTTTGGTTTGTTTATCACTGTCTTTATTTTCTAACATACACTTATTTGATATGGATTTGTTCGCGTGTAGCGTTTTAGTTTCATTGAACAAATGAGACTTTGGTGCAACCACTCGTCTAAATAAAGCTTCATCACAATTTTCATGAATCACAGCGTCTTCCACATCTTCAACTACAGGATCATCGTCTGAGTGAATTGTGACCACGGTTCCTAACGGATTTACTACTTTGGCAACACTGGCGGTATGCGGTTTCATTGACACAATCACGCAACGTCCACCTGAACAGAAAGAGCCAATGGCAGGAATTACTGATACAAACACTACGGTGCAAGAATAAACAAGACACATGCCATCATGCAACTAAATTCACAAAACGCAAAAGAAAAGAAGCATACTCTATTAATGGTTTATACGTTAGATATTAGATGGTAAGAGATTTGGTTAGATTGCACACCAGAATATGTTAACGAATTAGGTCAGTTTCCCTGCCTTTGGCTTTTCTGATTGAAACCAAATAATTATCTATTATTAATAAAAAATGTAATTGCATTCACAATAAATAATCACTTCACAAAACCTATTTTCTGAAACTTGCTTCATCTACAAGGAATTAATACACGCGCTTTCCCGATTTGTAAAATTCTGACTGCAAACGCTGTAAAATTAGGCGTACATGTAAACTTAAATTTGAAATTTTTTGGAAATTCATAAACATTCGGAAAGCTAACAAAGTTAGAAATTTACAAAAATTTGAGAAATTCGGACAAAATCCAACAAGTTTTCACAAGACATCATTTGTTTTGCACTTTGGTTCTGCGTTTGCGCTTGGGAGCACTCAACTTTTGTTCTGCCTTTTGCTTTTATTAAAAGAATCAGTACCTTGGGTAATTCGTTCTGACTTGAGATACACATGTTCTCCTCACATTTATTAGACTACTTGCCAAAAATTAAACAAGTCACACTGTTCTGATGTGTACTCTTAAGAAGTGTGACAGAAAAAATATTTTTTCCTTTAATATTTATTATTAAACATCCGTATATTATTGCATTTTTATTTATTCTGGTGAGGTCTTTACGTGTAAATACAAAATGATTATTTATCGTTCATTTCGTTATTAATTTTGCTTTGTTAAACCATTTAAGTGGCAGGTCTGTTTTAATTTATGGGCACTTTTATTACTTTTGTTACAGGGATGATTTAATTTATTAGCGATAAGAATGCGTTTAAAGGGGCAAAAACTGAGTTTTCGTAAAAAAAATGTTATTGGAGCTTAAAAATTTAGATTCGTAACCTAAGGAGGGACAAGAAAGGAATGTGTAGTGGGCTGTTGTGTTGCTGTATCCGGTAACTGGAGGAAAGTTCAAAGTTTGGAAGGTAGGAGAGTGATTTTAAATACTGAAGTTGGTGTTAGAAAGTTTAAAAGGCGCGCGATTTGCGCTAAAAGTTGTGGCAAGTTTGTCTGTTTAGTGTATGCAAAGTTGTTTTTCGTAACGCTTATGTGGGGTGTGTAAACGAACTTTGTCTGTGTTAATTCATGTAAATCGTGTGTTTATTCGAACCCTTTAACGATCCAGATAGATGTATCATGCTTAATTATGATCAAAATATAAAATTCATTTGATGGTTTTTTTAATTTTTCCATGCATCTCATTGGTTCTGAATATTTCTAATTTTTGTGTATACCTAACTTTATGGTATTACGCTCCAGAAAGACAGTTGATTTCCATTCAATTAAAAAGCAATCCCTGAAGAACTTTTTAGTGATTTACGAGCAAACATTTACATTTTTTATGGATGTAGATTCACCTCGCTATCACTACAAGGGTCATATGTTTATCATCGCTTATCATCTCTCAGAGTCCGCTTTGGACATAAACCTGTTCTGTGCATTCGGATATGCAACATCTTCGATGGCTAATGGGGAGAATCTTTTAGCATCTGTTATTAAAAACAGATACAACCACAATTGCAGGTAGTGGAGCTTCAACCATCCAAAAACGACAAACGCAGCTCCAGTGCTGAAGAAAAGAGTAAGAAGAAAATTCGATGGTCAATGTCAACTACAGCTAATGCTGGCACTAGTGAAGCAAGGTCTGAAAGTCCATGACTGGCCAAAAGTAAGAAATTTGCATACCTAAGAACATTAACACGAGGCGCATATTAAGGCCCATGTGACGTAACATGAACCAAACCAGGAAAAAATACCAGATACAACGGGGCCCCAAAAGCAGGAAAACAAATTAATCTTCTAACATAAAGAAAGAGGCATATTAAACCGCCTGCAGCTTTTTAAATAAAGAATATTCTGTGCAAGTTCAACGTTTTCGTAAGTAGCTTAGCTTAACAAATTGTGCTCAATAACGTTAAGGAAAGTGTGATTAAATTTAAAATAAGCGACGCACCTCACCACAAGAGATAATTACAAAACGCTTACCTGTCTCTCTAACGCCCGGCGACTCCAGCATAGCGTCCGCGAGATCCTCTTTAAGTTGCAGCTCTCCCGCCCCGCCTACTTCCTCCGATAAGCGCTGATATGTATCTAAAAGTTTAGGCGACTGCTCGCAACTGCTAGTCGATCCTGATTCGATCAGAATGGGATACGCAGTGCTAACGGGCATATTTACAGGTTTAGAGCGATTTACGTCGACTCCTTGAACTTCGCTTAAAGACAGTGGCGAGCTGAAACAGGTTCAGGTCATTGGGCAATAGGCGCAAAGGTGAAGTTTTACAAACCCGTTTGCTGTATAAGTTTTGAAGGTAAACTGTGGTCCCATCCATAAACGCCGGTGAGGTCCGGCATGAGTAACAATTTCAACCTGAGATAACCATCGATCATCCGAATGATTTGATGGGGTCGTTTTGTATGCTGGTAAATCTTGAGGTAGTAAGTTTAAATTTTCCGGAGTTATGGGAAGTGGTACGTCATTTAAATGAAGTTGCCTTTGCAAAACCCATTGAGCTTTCGCTTGTACTGCTAATTCGATTGGCGTTTCGTCGCACACTTTTTCTTTCGGCACAGAAGTGATGTGGTGAGGATCCAAGTCGTACTGTAGAAGCGTTCCATGACAAGACATAATAAAAAGGGACTCTACTGGTTTTATTTGCTTTTTCGTCGTAACTGTATCGTGTGAATTTCCCGTATTATCAAACCAGGCCCGCGCAGGCGCAAAGCAACAACAAAGCCTAATTGCGATTTGAATATTGTCTTCGGATGAAGAATTAAGTCTTGGGCGACCTACAAGATACAATCATAACTGTCGTTTAATTGCATAAAGTAACAACATAATTTATTCACATAAACTATGCTATACACTAATTTTCTAATTGAAAGCTAATAATAATAGGAAGCATTTGTTAAATATAAACTTGTTGCAAACACCACTTACAACACTGTTAAAATAAAGTTATAATAATTATGTAACGAGTAATTACCTGCATGTGAACGTTGAGGTAAATTTCCTCCAGGTGGTATAAACAGAGGTTGTCTAATTTGAGCTAAGGGATGTACGACTGTGGGATGAGGATATGGAGGTAATCTTGGATTATTGAACGGAATATTGGTATTCACAGGAGCTTCGAATAATGAAATGGGACTATTTGATCTGCCTTCAACAGGTAATCCCGCCGACCTATGGAAACGTGACATTCTATTAACCACATGCGGTGTAGCGTGTGTGCGAACACCGACATTTCCTCCGTACGGAGTTATGGGAAACACATGTGTTGTACCTCTTAGAGTAGACACTCCCACCCAACGTGAGTCGGGCGAAAAACACATATCTTGAACTCTTGCAGTTGTATCACCCCGGTGTAAAATGTAGAGATGATGAACGGCCGCCAAGGCTGGACCACCGGGATGTGGATGAATACGAAACAGATGAAAATCGTGACCCCTTTTATCGGCAGTAAGCAGTAACAACCCACTAGGGTCGAATGCCAAACAAACTATTGCTTCTGTATGTGCAGCAAAATGCGCTATCACCCCATCAGTCAGAAGAGTTTTATCATCTGTTGCTCGATTCTGTTAATACACAAAATATAAATTTCATCTTGTATTTAACTCATTTACCTCAATATCTAATACAGTAACTACACCCTTTTGCAAAACATCAGTTCCATTGTTTCCAATAATTAACGTGTTGCCAGGCGACGACCCAGCCTTAAACTGTGGATTACCTGTCAAACTACTCGCAACCGTTTCTCCCAACTCACGCAGTCCTTTACCTAAAGATTTTGCGGCGTGCAAAACCGTCGCCGTATAACTCTAAAATTAAGCGACAGTAACATTATGACTACCGTTTGCGGACAATGAGCACCTGCACACCTTCACCTTCGTTTCCTCCACTGCTCCTCTTATTCGAAATTAGTTTCCTCTCCGCGTACGCCATCCATCGAGTGCCCAGAGCTATAGGATTCTGATAAAGTCCCGGACTTAAGAAACACGTAGTTACGGTTAACCGATCTTCCAATGTCAGCGAATCGAATACTGCAATCCTTTCCGAGAAGGTGACCACAACTGAATTGCGATTGGCTAGTACGTCCAAAATGGGATTTTTAAATTTGATAACTTTCACCTAAAATTTAATCAATTATTATACTTATAGCCAAGTCAATGTAAGTAAAATTTAAAAAAATCTTAGTTTTGAAATTTGCCCAAAATGCTCTTTGGACCTTCCTCTTGAACATACCCAAAAACCCCATATGTGGGGCCATTTTGAATTTTAGGGCCTGATTTTTCGGTATTTACTCAATATCTCAAAAACTATCAACTTTTTCATTATATAGATGTATAAACCGGCGCCCGAACATGAGACGTTTGCTTTCCAACACCTTGGTCCGCACCTCATCTCAAAACTCTACCAACTAGGACAGGAAGCATGAAAACCCCGGATTTAGGGATTATAAACCCGAACATATCAACTGAATTTGATAAAAAATATTCTCTAAAGAAATAAAACAACCAATTAATTTTTTTAAATAAAACAAGGCGTACTCTATCACGAAACAAAATCTTTAACTGTTAGGAATCAACAACGGCTTATCTACATTTTTAAATTCTTTAAATGAAGTAATAATATACTTTTTTAAAAAAATAAAATACAAGTTATAAGAGCTAATAACAATAATTTTTAAATGAAACAAAAATTTGGTCTTTTAGTAAAATAAAATGTTTAGGGAACTACTTTTCAGATCTTCGGTATTTATCTGTCTTTCCAATAGGCTTTAGAATAGCTTCTTTACTTAAAAGAAATTTATAAAAATCTACACAATTATAATCTTTAAAATTGTACTTTATTTTTATCACTGACGAGACTGTTTCAATATTCAATAAATTCCTTTATTTTGTCCACTGTTGTGCCACTAGTGAAAATACTGTTTCAGCGTTGTCATTATGAGCAGGAATGCAAAACTAGTAGCGTCCCAACGAACGAGCGGACGGACGGACGGCCAAGTGGGCACAATAGCGCATTTTTTTTTGTGGAAATGCGTTTAAAAGTAGTGCGCAATTTTCAATAACTCTGAGTACCTATAAATGAGCATTCGGTGTTTTAAAAATTGTTACCAAAACTGATTTGCGCTTGAAAGCTTATCTTGTTGGTTTAAATTTTGACAGAAAGATTTTTAATTCACCCACTCAGTACCTCAAAACCCGGTGTACCATTGAACATCCGCCCGGACGCTCCGCGGACGCCCCCTAAACTAGGACAAATCCGGGGAAATTCGGACGGATGGCAACCCTATCCGCACCCTGTCTGGCATGAGCCAAATGTAATGTTTAATATAGTGCGGCAGAGTTCACAGTGTGGATCGGTTCCAGCGCTTACAACACTTCATTCCACCCCCATTCCTTTGCATTCAGGGGGTTCCCCACTCACAACTGGATCTGGTGGTTAACCCTCTAGCATGCCGCATCAGCTGCGTGACTACACCTTTAATGGGTAGGAAAGAAGTGAGCGCTGAAACCACGCAAGTCGGAAGGCGTTAATGCTACAAAAACTTTTTATAAGTACGTTTTTTGTAGGAAATGTAGTGACATAATGGGGAAAAAATTGGATAATGAGGAAAAACCGAAAAAAAGAACCTAAAATTCAAAATGGCAGACTGAATTTAGTTTCCAAAATTTCATTTTTGTGACTGTTAGAACTGATTTTGTGACACATCTTTATTTGCAAAATGAAAGACCACCGTTTTTTCAATTGAAAACAGGAGGATGGAAGAGCTGGCACTTATCTCGTTTTATTGATCCACTGCATAATGAAGAAAGAAAGTAGCCCACACAAATCAGTACAATCATATTAAACATTTTTTTTAGACATGGAAGGTTCCAGTTGTCATTGCACTGGCTTAGCCCACCATATCATTAGTAAGATGAGCAGCACAAACAAAGCCCAAAACAGTACAACATTTTAAAATAAAAAAACAATTCCAGAAATAAGATCATTTTCACCATGCTTTTGTTCACTTAGTAGGAATTTAAAGTGAACATGAAACAGTTACCCATACTGTTGCTTAATAATTAGTAATATGGTTTTCATGTACCCTTAATTTCATCCACTTAAACTACTTTGCTTTACAAAGGACTTTTGCTAACGAGCAAGATTAAGGTTGATGTCCTATATTAACACTACCTACCTCTTGGAAATCTTGTGACAACTTTTTTTATGAATTGTAGCGGCTATTATCATGAATTTGCTTAATTCATTTTATATATTTAAGGGCTGGTCTTTTATGTTTCAATCAAACTTATCTGACAATTAATTTCCATAGAAATAAATTTATTTGTTTAATTGTAACAGACTTTGCCAGAATAATCCCGTAGAAATTAAACATCAGCTTATGAATTTATGTAGGCAACACACAATACAATGTATTAGCTACATTGGCTTTTTTATTTTAGAACAATGAATAAATCTCAGTGTTTTTATTTAATGTGTTGTCTACACAACTCCCAAGAGGCTCTCTCTGACAACAAGAGAAGTTTACAATATCCAAAATAGGGCATGCCTTCATAAAAAAGGACTAAAGCTGAAACTGATTCAACTCGCACGATTAACTAAAATATAAGTCTCTGCAGAAAAGTGCCAAATCATACAAGCATGGCTTCAAATCTGATACGCTGTATTATAATATAGTTGCTTCAAATTTTCATCCTTTTTCCTTCTATTACAGCAACCTACCTGTTCTCCAGTTTTAAGTGATAAAAAATTTAAAGCACAATGTTGAGGACCCGGAGTTGTCGTATCACATAGAGCCATTAATGGCCTTTTTAAAGTGTACATGTCTTCCTGCGCGGTACATCTTCCAATCAACGGCGTGGGAAGAAATTGCAACACCTTCACAGATCCGTGTCTCCATGATAACAGTTCCACGGCTTCGCCGTTAGCAGGAATCGCCCATACCTTTCGTTTAAACGGATAAAGCATGTCGACCAACACACCGACTTACCTGAACACCCGTAGAGTAGCCCAAAATTAAAATTAAGGCAGACGGTATAACTTTATCGCCCTCCGCATTTTCCGAAACTATCTCCCGATCCAACTGTTGAAATTTGACCCATTGAATTTGATCCTTTGTATCACAGGGTGCGTTGTATGTCGCTACTTCATTAATAAAACCTGCCACGCTGTCTAAAATTGTCGGATCTGTCACTTGCTGCGGCGAAATCGTACTAGTGCCATGGGGTGTCCTTATTTTTGAGCGTGACCGCCTCGGTGATCCGGCAGACATGTTTATTAAGCATACAAATCTAGTGGTTTATGCCTATAAATAAAAAAATTGTCGTCATTTTTATTATGAGTGAAATAAACAAAAGAAACTCAGGTGTTGTGACAGAATCTTTGTAAATAACACAATTGACAACATTTCAAGTTGCAAGGATTATGGAAATGTAAAAAATTCGAAAAAGTTATATAAATATGTCCAAATAGAGGGTGTGGAACTTAAAATAGCAAATTTTGAAGGACAAAGGAGGATGGTATTGTAAGCTATTGACAGCTGCTGAAAATCATCAAGTCTATGCAGATTAACACCAGCTGACAATTTCCGATAATAAAAACGGAAACTTACTAAAATTTTTCTTAAAAATCTAACATTTTACTTTGAAAACTGCGTCGCCGTTTCAGTGTCAAATACCAAACAAATCATGACGTCATTTTCTGTTTGTTGTACTAGAAACTGCAGATTGATAAACACAATATTGCGACACAATAACGTTTAAGTTTTAGTACTATTACCAATAATTGTTAAAACACAGTTTTAATTGTAAATCAATATTAAAATATCGTTGATAATCATGCTAATGTAGTCTCGATTCGCGAACTGTCACTGTCACAACACAAATCAGCTGATTGCACATCAACAAATAGAAGGACAGGGACAGCGTTCTTTTCGACAGTTTTAGCGGTAGTCGATAATTTATCTATTGTGAAATGTGAATTTATATTTTTGTGAACCTTCGTTTTAACTCGTAGATTTCAGCGTTATATTATGTTTAAGCAAATAACCTTTCTACTTCTAATTATAACTGCAGTCGAAAAGAGTTATCAGAGAAAACCAAATGTGCTATTCATCATTGTGGATGATTTGAGACCATCTCTGGGCATATACGGGGATGATAACGCTCGTACGCCTAATATTGATGCTTTGGCCAAAAAGAGTGCCGTATTTACAAATGTCTTTGCACAGGTACATACAGGGTATTGCTCAAATGTATAGGTACTTTACCTGTAGATGGTCCTATCCCTCCCACTCCTTTGCCAGTAAACAGTAGTTTGTCATGGATTTTTTATAAGCAAGCCTTTTGTAACTCGTTAACACTTTATTATCTCCCTTGCACTTTGTATTTTGCTCAAAAAGTTCAATGTACCAAGTTACTATATATTTCTGTTTAGATATGCATGATATGTAAACAAGTTCAACTTTTTCCTGATCGTTGCCCCTTAGCGTTGCCTTAATAGTCAAGCAAGAGGTAACCCGCTGGATTTAATTAGTCTGTTAACATGGCAACTCTGTTATGTTAGTTATTATTTACAAGATGAAGCCACTATCTGATGTTTTATTACTTAACAAATTATTGACAACTAACTATAGTGCTATAATATTTACATTCAGTTAACACAACATCCAGGCCCGTAGCCAGAAAGAAGTAGCAGAGGTGGCCGGTATTTTTCTAGGGGGGCTTAAGAAGTTTGTGATACAGACTTCCCTTGTCATTTTTGTACAAGGACCATCAACCGTAACTTTCAGTGGAGGCAAGACCATGTTCTAGCCCCCCCCTGGCCATCCCCTAGCTATGGGTCTGACAACATCACTCTTTCTTACCAGAATTTTTTATAATCATCGCAGAACAAGTTAATTTTTCTGTCCATTTCCATTCATTATTACAATCTAAATTTCATTGGTTGAGTAGTCGTCCGTCATCATGTGGGAAATGGAGTTTTTAGCACACACTGTCTCTCTCAGTTACACAATTCCGCTCCCTTTCATTATATACTCCACGGACCCACAGAATGGGAACAATAAATGGAATGCATCAAGCCTCACAGTCATAGAGCTCAAACTATCATTCTTGTTACAAAACTATTTCGGAGCACTTTCATGTATAGTACTTGATCAAGGGTTACTGTACAAGATTGGCTGCGATCTTCAATTTTTTTTGGAACTTTATAGCTCCCAGAGAATGTAATGCTCCAAGACAAAGTGCGAACATTAAAATTTGCATTGGCAAATACATATATTAAACAAATGTTGATTCATCAATGTCTGGAGCTGAATGTACAGTGACATAATTAGGCCCTCCGCAGTCTGCACACGGGTCGATTGATTAAACCTCTCGGCGCAAGCGCCTGCAGGTATGTAATCTTGGTGCTTAGGCAATAATTCTAGACTTCTCTATACCCTTGGTATATAATACTGTTATTCTTTGAAAAAATGTAACCAAAAGATTTAAGAAACGAAATTTTTTACGTAAGTTTCTACGAGATTTGTGCCATTTTTGAGAAGGAATAAGAGGGTCTAATTAACTTTTTGCTTGATCTATGTTTAATCGTATTTTTCGAAACTGTAGGCCTTTATGGTAAAAGTATTTCATTACAGCAAGCATTATGTGCTCCCAGTCGAAATTCGTTCCTAACCAGTCGCCGACCTGACAGCCTTCACCTCTATGACTTTAATAGTTACTGGCGCGATGTTGCTGGAAATTTTACGACTATTCCGCAATTATTCAAAGAAAATGGTTACTATACACATTCAATTGGAAAGGTGTTTCATCCAGGGAAATCATCAAATTTCACTGATGATAGTCTATATAGTTGGAGTCGGTCGCCATACCATCCGCCTACTGAAAAATATAAAAACGCTAAAGTGTGCGTGACAAGAAATGGACTGGCACAGAACATATTATGTCCAGTGATTGTGAATGAGCAACCGGGTGGCTCGTTACCTGATTTGGAATCATTGAGCGCTGCAAAGGACTTTTTAAAGTACCATAAGCAAATTTCGACTTTACCGTATTTTTTAGCGGTTGGATTTCATAAACCTCACATACCTTTGAAGTTCCCCATTGAATATTTAAGTATAATTTGAAGATTCAGCATTGAGTATCAAATTATGCAAAATTATTACTAGGATATCATCCTTTTGAAAATGTGAAAATACCACCCAATCACTTCCGTCCTCCTGGACTTCCAAATGTAGCTTGGAATCCGTGGATAGATCTTCGCGAGAGAGATGATATCAAGGCGCTAAATGTTAGTTTTCCTTTTGGAAGTCTTTCAGACTACACAATAAAGCGCATAGTGCAACATTATAATTCTGCAGTTACTTATATTGATGATCTTGTAGGCGAACTACTCCAAAATATTGATAAAAACACCATTGTTGTGATTCTTGGTGATCATGGTAAATAAGTATTTGCCAATAAACATGGTTCCCATTGATAATTTTTTTACAGGTTGGTCTATGGGTGAACATGGTGAATTTTCTAAATACAGCAACTATGACATCGCAACTAAAGTACCACTCATCATTAGAGTACCTGGTGTAACCAATTTTCAGAGAATCATTCCTCAACTTGTAGAACTGGTTGATTTATTTCCTACGCTTGTGGATATAACCAACGTAACTCGAAATTTGGGGACCTGCTCAGTTGATGGTGCTAATTCACATTTGTGCACTGAAGGAAGAAGTTTGGCTCCTTTAATATCCCCAACCTTCAACTTAAAAGTAGGTATAATAAACAAAATTAATGAAATTGCAATAGTTTCTCCAGGCCACTCCATGGAAAACGGCAGTTTTCACCCAATATCCTAGGCCAGGTGAATATCCTACTTGGAAACCTAACAGCGATAGTCCCAAATTAAAGGATATAAATATTATGGGTTACTCCATTAGGACAGATCAGTATAAGTATACAGAATGGATCAGTTTTGATCATAGGAATTTTTCTGCTGATTGGAATAAGATTTTTGGACAGGAATTATATGATCATTATCTTGATCCAAATGAAAATTTAAATTTAGCAACTAGACCTGAAATGAATGAAACTGTATACCTTTTAAGAAAGCAGCTTAGATTAGGTTGGAGGCATGTTTAAACCTTCTCATAGTACAGGTACCTACACTACTAAATTTTTGCATATTTAGATAATTGTTTGAATAATAATATGTGTAGATTAACTCGCAGAATAAAGGGATACCGTAATGCATGTGCTTATTGAGTTCATAATAGCTATATACCTAAGCTGGTTGCTGTTGATGGCCTTGGACAGACTTACGCCAGTATCATCTCTACTCATCCATGCTGAAGAGGTCACATCAACTGAGGGACCAGACTAGCGAGATGTACAACCCACCTGCATATTCCCGTTTGTACTGTGCTGCTACCCTGCAAATACCCCCAAAACGATCTGTATCCATCATTTAGAGAATAACCCCTACGTGTTTTGCATGTGTTAGGCGGCCAAGGTACTATAGAATACTGTATCGGTTTATGCTGCCTATAAACTTATTGGTGTCCCCAAAACCCGTGATGGGCACAGGCTTACTGTCCCTATTGGTTAATCCAGCCTGGGCAATAATAGTCCGAGGGAATCACGAAAGGATTATTGAAGATATATGAGAGCTGCCCTAAAAGTAATTGAAAGGTGGTGCTTAGACGGCTAGCAGATCTAAAGCATAAAGATCAGTTTCGTAATAAAGTACTCTTTACAAAGAAAAAAGTAGCAACATGCACAAATTCTGATTCTATTCAATACCTACATTCAGTGCACCCACAAAGTGGCAAGTATCTGGGTCTCTACTCCCAAGTTAACTTGGAAATCCTGTCCGAATAGAACAGCTACCAAAGCTTAGATCATATATGTATGAAGTAAGATCTAAGGCGACGCCAAATCTAGTGGGCAGTCGGGACACTGCTTAAAATAAACTACATATTGATGCTACATCATGTATATAAAATAAATCAATTGGTGGGCAAAGCAGTTTTCTACTTTATTTTTAAATTGTACTCTGGCTACTTGATGGGTTTTAACATATATGGTTTTAACTGCACCAAAATCTTGTGGATTTGTGTAATTTAATTTATTTTGTATTTAATTAAAAGAATTTCGGTAAGTTCAGCATTGCCGTTTTTAGTTAACGAAATGTTTTGCCACAATTCCAGGTAAGATGCCAGATGATAGAAAGAAGATGTATTCAAAACAAAGCACTGGGACAGTCCCTAAATCCAAACACAGGAACAATACAGCTTTTACAAATCATGATAATTTCCAACGTAGTTTATCAAACAATTTGGTAAGCGTTGTTTTGCCACCACTTAACGCTGTTACTGACATTTAACGTTCGCCTAAACCGAACATGCCTCCCAATTCTCTAAAAATAACATTCTAAATTTATCTATCTCAGTGAAGATTGTGGCCGAACTCGTTCTTTTTTAGGGTTTAGACGGGCAACGACAGGATTATTCGAATTATTCGAGAAACTCCGATAGAAATTTTAGCCACTTATTGCCGTATATGATGGACGCCTCGTTTGTAGACCGTAGTCAGAATCCCACATCACAAATTAACCTATCAGGTAATGGCTAGCATAATTAGCTCAGTAACGAATGTTGGTTTAGCACCTACAGCGAATGGCACGTTGTCCACATCTAGTACTAGCGGCTCTAACTCTAGGCGTGAGTCTGTAGGGACAATTCCGAAATGTGACAATGTGAAAAAGTGTCCCGATAAAAAGCAGATTGAGGACAAGTTAAATCAAATTCGTGAATATCTCCAAGTAACGACCTCTTTAATGTCGAGCATAAAAAACGAGGATCAGGTATGTTTGCTGTACAGTATTGTGTTTATATGACCATCTTCTTACGTAGTCTGCCATAAATGAATTAGAGAATTTTAAGAAAATGATTAAAGATCTTAAAGATAGTGAAGCAAAACTATTGGCTTTGTTAGATGATCCGTTGTATGATGAAAGTAGTGATCCACCTTCCTTAGCAAATGTTCAAGAGGTGATTATTGATTTGTTCTGGTGATATTGGATTAGATGTGCTCTAATTTTGCTGTTTATAAAGCACTTTTGAGTGTGTACAATAATAGCCTCTTAACCAAATGTTACATAAATGTTTTTGGTCGTACCTTGGGTTGTATAACTTTGTATACAGATTCTGATTGCATTTTTGGCAATTAGATATTTACAGGTGTACTGAGGACAAGTGAAGTTTTCTTTCTCTAAAATGAAGCCAGCCGAACGTAAGAAAATTGATTCACTTTGAATGCTCCATATTTTCAAAGTATTCACTTTTAGTCCAGGGAATAGAGGGTTTTAACCTCGGTTTTAACTTGAAAAATGAGAAGTAGTTCCAATTTCTTTTGCATGTCATAGACAGTCATCTGGTGGTTAAGAATCTAAGTTTTCGACCTCCCACCCCTTGTGCTTCCCCGTACCACCCCCAAAACCCCTGAAATTTGGTTGGTTTCATAGTTTTGCAATCATGTCTTTTTAATGGTTCACTTGAGAAAAAAATATTGTTATCAGAAATTGTAGACCATAAAATTCTACACAACTTTGATATAAGTACACTACTTTTTTGTGAAAAGTTTATTAAAAAAGATATAGAGCTTGAGAGTTGGTTATATTTTTAAGAATTCTGAAATTTCTATGAAGATGTTTTAACCAAATTTCATACTTTATCTCTTATCTTGAATTTATTGTGGTATAAAGCCCTCTACGCTGCACCCTTACCAAATGAGATGCATAATAATGAAACTTGCAACCCATGCTAGTGAGGATATTTGAATCACTGTGAGATTGTAGTGCTTTCTAATTGAAAAACTAAAAAACCAACCACTTTTTTTGGTTTTAAGGGTGGTACGGGGGAAGCACAAGGGGTGGGAGGTCGAAAACTTGGATTCTTAACCACCAGATATTCTTTCATGACATGCAAAAAAATTGGAACTACTTCTCGTTTTGCAGGAAATGGTCCATTTTCAGTCTCTATTTCTTGGACTATTTTGGCAATTTTATTTTCTCCATTTTTTTTTGCCAGCTTGGATTTTGTTTTGGATCTATTTCATCTTATCCTTCGCCATTGTGAACAATGTTGGATCATGGGTGACTTAATTGTCAAGTGTAGGTACTACTTTTTAAAAGTTTTAAACTTTTCTAGAGTGATTATATCAATTTAAAGAGAATAAAGTGCAAATATTTAATTGAACCTATTTGACTCATTGCATGTAATTCCGAGATAATCATATAAGAGAACAAAGTTGATGATGATTTTTCCAAAACGAAACGTTGTATTGAAAATCCCTCAACAGTGTCTTATAGAGCTCAAAAAGTGGCAATGAAAAAGTGTTTTTAATTTGTTGTGTCTGTTCAAATAACTTAAAAAAAAATTAAAATAAAAACGAAATCGGGTAAATTTCGGTTTTTATAGAATATCTTCGGAAGTAATCAGAATTTTGTGGATTTGTTTAAAGCATGATAATAACTCTTTAATTGCGCATATTTTTTTCTAATTTGACCATTGTTGTATCTTCTATGGTTTTGGAGATCCTCATGGCAAACATCCTTATCTTGGGACTTGGACACAGTGTATAGAAATCTTGTGTCACAGTGTTTGTGGTCGCACTGCTCCAAAACGGCTAAACCGATTTTTTTGAAATTGTTATTGTATATATGAGAGGTATCAGAATAGGCCTGAAAATATATTTCACACAGCTAGGTGATAATATAGTTCGCCATACACACCTCCCATCCAAGAAGACTTTAACTGATAGGCGGCATGAAGTTCTCCGGGAGTGCGAGGTGAGGGGGCGCAGCCGCTGAATCCGAGCGTATGTTCCATATAGAGAAAACGAGATTTCCCAAAGACAGAGTGAAGTTTGCGGGGTCTGCTAGTAATATAATATTTTATTAAATCTTTCGAGAATTTTCCTTTAATTTCCTTATATTTCTTCAGACCCATGTCATAAAGAATAGATTTTCTCATTTTTGAAAGCGGAAAGTACGTTTGGCTTCAACAAAAGGGAGAAAGTAAAGCACTAGTGTTGAAACCGAATTTGAGGGGTCACATTAGATTTGATTTTTCACGTAACCACAGGTACAATGCCGAATAATTACAGGTTTTGTAATGGTTTAACTGCTTTTAATAATATGTGTCTACCCAAAATATTTTAAGTCGGTACATAATAAAGGCGTGGATGAAAGAACTATCTCAATATTTGTACAACTATAATCTGTTTACAAAGTGTATACATCACCCGAAACGCCACACGTTTAAGATAAGGGGAATTGCGTTATTGCATGCTGTATCGCACACTTCAATTTAAGTAGTTCAGTTTTACCCACCAGAGTACAAATATGTGTAGCCATTATCTACTAATTAAAACTAAACGATGTGAAAGAGATTTCTGTCTTTTTATTTCTGTAGGCGGTGTGCATTCCGAAAGTGTCTAGTAAAATTTGATCGTTTTGAAATTCAACTTGGCAGATATCATCTATCACTATTTGTATGAAAATTTAACCATTCGTAGTCATTTGTTGTGCCGATACTAATAATGCACCAATTAACAGGAAAATCATAACATGGATGTTGCCGTATCTGAACATATGCAGAAATTTTCCCAATTATTAGATATATTAGCCTGTCAGCAGGATAAGTTTAATAATATTTACAATACTAACAACGGGGTGCGTGTTTGTAATTAATTATTTGAACGTTATCCATGTCTAAACTGTAACTTGCTTCAGCATCTAGAAAACGGAGTGGATAATGGATCTGAGATTAGTTCGAGCGGCTATCAAAGAAACGAATTAGAGGAAAAGGTAGAATTTACAAATCGCAAAGTACAGCTTCTACGTGAGCAACAAAATGCGCTCATAAATCTAAAACGTAAGGCGGAAAATCAATTGCGCGACGCTAGACAAGCGCAAGAAAATCTAATGCTAATGCAGCAACAGCAGAAGAACGAGAACCGATTGCAAAATTTAGAATTAGATCACGAGCAGGGAATTGGTAACGAAATTTTTGCCGGTGATAAAAACTTGAATGAAAATCAATTTGACATTGCAATAAAAGAGTTAGAACATAGGTTGGATAGTATGAGAAATGATTCGAGACAAGCCGCCGCGAATGCTCAAGATCATTCATTAGATTATTTGCAGGAGCAGCTGCATTTGCTCGATAATCACGACTCACAGTTAAATAGTGAACATATTGAGCTGCAGCAAAAGTTAAATGATTTACAAGGTAAAAAGATGCAAATTGATCGCCTTGCTGAGCAGCTTCAAAATTTAGGGGATGATGATGAGGAAGATATAGGTCAGTTTTGAGTCTTGTGGTGTACCTTTACACATAAATAATTTGTAGGAAACCAAGTTCGCAAAATAGTAACAATGAAGCAACAATTATCCAGTTTAAAAGATTTATTGGAGGTAGTAAAAAACACTGAATACTCTTTACTTGACTCCCAAAATGTTAATGGTTTGGAATTGGAGCCTCCAGAACCGATTCAAAGTGGCAGCGTTAAGAGAGATAATATACGTCAAAATGTAATGATAAATCATAATCAAAACGATCGTCCTAGGGTGGACAATAATCGCGCGAGAGTCAATGAACAATGGCCAATAGAGAAACAAAGCAATAAAAGTATTGTCAACATCAAAGAACGTGAGAAGGTACTCGCTGAACTGAAATCGAAGAAGCGGGAATTGGAAGAAATAATGTACAAGCAGAAAGGTAACAAAATTAATCGGTTGCTTTATATTATTTGGTTTTTGCAGATAGTACCTCCATTAATAACGATGTATGTAGTGAGAGCTCTGTAAATAAATCCGATGTTGGTGCAAATAATGTTTACGATAATGTAGTTATGTCTTGGTTACCTGTCCATCCGTATCAACACAATCAAGTTGCATCCCTTTACTCTAGGTAAGTGTTCCAATTATGAACGTCAACGTCACTGGACTTTTCTCTTTGGTAGTGATGAATGTGCAGAGGAAGACATTAATGAATATTCAGAATTGAATTATACAACTGAACCTCCTATGGGAACTGTACCTCCACCACCACAGCCAGTGTTGTCCTCGAACTATACCACAGCTTTTCCAAAGAGGAGCGATACCAACCAATCTTTGGACAGTAGATGTACAAGGAGCTCTGCGAGAAGAAGTAGTTCAAGAACTAGAGAACCTTGTGTACCAAGCATTTCTACAACCACGCCTATGGAACAGGAACAACCCCTCCCAAATTGTTCAATGCAAACTGATAGTACCAAAGCTCAAGTAACCTTTCAAAGTGAATAAGTTTTCTATTGTAATTGTGCGAATTTTAGTTGCAGAAGCAATTGGAATTGATCCAGTGTGTCTGTCAATCACTGTTAGACCAACAGGCATCCAACTCCTCAAACTTGTCAAATGTTCAACATCTCAGAAATAATCTAACCCCGTCCTCTTTGTATTCGGAACCCAAGCGTTACTCATCAGGCAATCTTCGTCAGAGTACCGCAAGTCTCAATATGGATCTGCCCTACTTTAATAACCCGAACACCTCCAACCACTACGCATTTGGCGAAGCAGCAAACAACCAAAACATGCTCGCGGCGAACACATTGCAAACGCAGGCGTTTCTATTAAACACCCTAAATCAGTGTTGTCAAATGCTGTGGTTCCAGCAGAGGGAGATTGCCACACTTCGATCAATGATATGTTCAGTAAGTAGTAGATCCGACTTAATGGCCTTATATTGTTGTGTGTTTTACAGATGCAAGATCAACTGATGCATGGACAGAACGAAACTGATATCAACTCAGTTCCACTTCCCCCCACCTCTTTCGTCCTTCCCACCCGACCCGCGTCGTCGATGTCCAATTTTCGCCCCTCCCAACCGAGATCGGCCAATCCCAAAGTTAACCATGTCTCGTCCGCATGCTCCCTACCGAATTTGAATCCTCCCACCCTTCATGCGAATGCCGATAACGCTTACTTGACCCAAAACAATATTCGTTCGAGTCCAAGTGCACGTTTGCTCGAATCAAGTTTGAATAATACCGCACCAATTCACAGTCACCTTAACCTGAGTGGTGATTCGCCCGCTAATAACACGCTACTACCCAATGTTAACACCGGCATAGTTCAGCCATTACCTTCGCAAATTTGGAACGGTCAAGCGTTAAATAATCAAGTACCTCCTGGTAATAGAGCTAATAATTACTGGGACAATTTTCGAAGGTAAGACAGTTACATATGCGTTTTTTTTTTAGTTTAATTATACATTTGTGTTCCTTATTTTACATTTTTGCCGATTCCTTATTTATTTTCCTCCCTCAATTTATTCTTTATTCATTTACAAAGAACTGTATGGAATGTGTTAGATGCAAAGGTAAGAAACATAAATCTCATGTACATAACAAACTAATACAGCAAGTTATGTTCGTTACTGTAAGATAATTGTAGGAAATTAAAAAGCCTATGAATTACTGCTGGTACAATTACTTTTAATTAAAAAGTCCTATTTTCAGTTGGGATTGATTTGTAGTATGTACCTACCAGCAACATTACAATGTTCTATTTTGTTGAATGTGACCTAAAAGACTTTTCAAACATTAATGTGGCTCCCCTCTGAACATCCTAGCAATTTTTCCACCTCGTACCACTTTGAGAGCTTATCTTGTGGTGGTTATGTAATTTTTTTGGGTTATGTGAGTCAGTACTGCCATAAAGGCATATTGGCTGGTATCTGTTCTGTTGAATGGAGAGCTCAGCATCTCCATACTATAATAGCTGTCTTCTGGGCGTTTAGATTTAGCTCTATTAGCTTGGTAAGTTTGTTAATTGCCGTGAGTTCGGTCTGGGATCTACTATTGTACGGTCTCAGGCTATAAGCATAAGCGTGAACTGTTCACATCATTCCCAGCCATGTCTCCATTAGGTCCACATTATCGGTCCGAGACAAGAGCCCCGAGGGCAGTCTCTATCGATACTGGTTAAGGTGTAGTCAGTTCTCATCTGCCTATCGGCTACGAAACTACAGAGGGTCTTATGAATGTTTCTTGGTATCGCGAACTGCGCCAAATCTCTTTCTATAGTGGGGTGCTAGGGAGCAATAAAAGCGTTCTTCTAGTCTAATGTAATTATTGCACCGTGTAGTTTCCTGGACCTGTTATTTTCAATAGTGCCAATTAGTTGTTGAATGGAATTTATGGTCATTCGAATTGGGTGGCCATGTTCCCCTGGTTTTTGGAGCCAGATAATTTTTGCAGCCTTCTAGACCTTCGGGAAGTGCCCAATTCTGAGATGGATGTTTAATAGGGGAGTCCAAATGAAAAGTGGTAACGAGTAACAGCTTGTTTGAAAGGTCTTTCGAATTCCTTTATTTTGACGTTTGATTTTTTTAAATCGGTCGATTCGTATATTAACCTTAGGGGCTGTTTGCTGTCTTCTGGTGCCTGTTGGTAAACTCTCTTGATGTTATTTCCAGCTTTACGTCTGTATTATTAACACCAAACTCCCATCACTTACTGAAGGTCACCATGCTATAAAATTTTTATTACGCTGAAAACACTTATGTAATTTTAACTGGAAACTCTTCAACATTTCCTGTAATAAAAAAATCCGCTGTTGTGTCCGTTTTGTGCAAAATAATGTATACAACATTGTATTCTAAATTGTTAGCCTATTACTAGAATTCATTTTCAGTTATTCCCGTCAAAATCTTCTATCAACATCATCTAAAAGTAACGAAGGCCTACAAAACACCGCAACATCGAGCTTAACAGTAGACAGTAGAAATACCACAACAGAGAACAGAAATTCCATCCTAGAGAGTAGAAACAGTACAGTAGAGAATCGTAACAGTGCAGTAGATCGTACGAGAACCATCCATTCCTCACCTCTTCAACCTTTTTCCCCAAAGTTAAATATGGTTCACAACGAATCCGCAAACACATCAGAAGAAGGCACGCCGAGGCGAGTACGATTAAATAAGCCAGTAGCCAGTATTCCTCCAGATGTATTAAATGTGAACCATAATTCGAATCAAAAACGAAACGAAACGCCTAACGCCACTGCTGCTGTCGCATTAGATTTACATTTGCCCGAAAATAATCTGCAACAAGACGGCAATAATTCTCCACACGATCGAAATTTGTACACATCGACTAGTCACAGGAATAGGAACGAGTGGCACAACAACGAACAGTCAGAGAGATTGCCTAAGTAAGTCTATACCAAACAAAGCAATAATAAAAGAAATCAGTTTCAGGTCTAAGTTATTCGAGGAATTGCGCGAAAATGTTTATAAGGAGGTGGCAAATTTGATATCGGCAAATGAAAGTAGACCTCATTTCTTAATTCAGCTATTTAGGGATTTACAGCAAGTCAACTCGGATGCGCTCAGAGGTCGAACGTTACAATCCATTCAGACGCTCTTAACCAATGCTTTAGAGACAATGAGAGGGGGCGCTGGTGGGCGACAGGTAATTTTTTTTTCGCAATTACGAAGTCAAATTGAATACTTTTCAGTCTAATATTCAGTCTCTTGTTGATCAGGAAGCTATGCAAGGCGATTCGGATGAATTTCCTTTGGCGCAACCATTGTGGGCACAGCTACTCTCAGCACAAAGTAATTCAAATGTAAGGTCACTTCCACTATAGTTTTAGCAGTCTTAGATCAGATGACGTAACATTAATACTCACAGAATTATAACTTAACAATTATTAGAAATTAATTTGAATTGCACCTAGAAAATAATGTGGTATACTTTTTCATTTAGGAATTGGGTAACAACGAGGATCCCGATATCCACAACATACTAAAAATGACATTCTCTTTTCTGACACTGCATCAAGATGAGGTGTTGCAAACAGAATTGATGTTGTTGTTGAAAGACTTCATAATGAAAGCAATTCCATTCACGCAAATATTCGCAAATATCAATTTACAGGAACGCACTTTTCACACACATTTCATGGGCATTCTAAACGAGGCGTTTGAAAAATATCAAGGACGAAGAGTCGCGGAAGTTAAAAAGGACTTACTAAAGACAATTTCCGATGTTCTGGTCGAGGAATTTTCTTTTATCTATTTAGTGAAGGAAAACGTTGCAGATAATTGCGAGAATGTGACGCATCAATGCAATAATCCGCCGATTCACGATGGTCAGTTGTCGTTAAACTTGCAATGTCAGCCTATGGTTCAAATTATTGAGGAAGGAAACACGCCTCAAATGCAAAATGGAGATTTGGCCGAGGCGGATCAGAGTCATTTGGAATTATTGGACGAAGAGGGAGCCGTTGGAGGTGCTGTAAGTCCTATTGTCGGACCAAGCTCTCTCAATTTGAGCGCTGTAAGTAATTTCCAGATTTGTGTAACAGGTTATTTCATTTTCTTAAATATAGCTCGAAAATGTGGAAGATGTCAACGACATGGAATTTGCTGCGAATGTCGAAGTGAGTACATATTTGTAGAATACAAAATGCCATACTTGCGCAATGCTAACTTTTGTAGATATTTTTTTGAAATTTTAACCATAGATGTTTCTAGTGACAAAGAACATAGCCCATATAGTAAAAATCAAAGGTGCCATGCGCAAACTGTGGATATAAACTTCCTTACTTATCGACATATTTTTTTGAAATTTTAACCACAGGTGCTTCTAGTAAAGGCAAACAACTCATATTGTAAAAATCAGATATGCGCATGCGCAGATTGAGCAATGCTAACTTTCTTATTTATGGAGACATTTCTCTGAAATTTTAACCTTAGCGTCTAGTAATGAAAAAAATAGCGCACATAGCTATTGCCTTTTGGGAAGTACAGATCAATGTATGGAAAATGCGGCAGGGTTGCTCGCCTTGGGGCGAAAACCTTTTGCCTTGTTTAAATTTTGGCATCCACTAGTTATTCAACAGTTGCAATGTAATATGGGGTATTTTTCTAGTTTTTATTTATCACATGATACAGTTTTTGAGATGCAGCGAATACAAATTAACCAGCCAGATTTTTCATTATTACGTTGTGGTCATTGACCAAAAAGCGATAAATTCCTGGTTAATATCTTACCAAAAGTGTATTGTTTATATACTTAAATGAATACGTTCCAGCCAATAGTTTTTTAATAATTAAGTATTAAAATCAGTCTCATCACTTGCCGAGACTCATTGAAGTGTTTTCATTTTTGTAGTCTGAAATTGAATTCGTGGAACAAGGCTTAGATCAAGTTCCAACTCGGTTAACGGGATCAAGACCACATTCCAGTACACCGAGCCGAGGTAAGTAGATCCTTCACATCTTTTAATACTACCTTAATCTTGTAGATCGGTCGAATACCTCACGTTCGGACCACAGTGACCACTTTTAGCTAGACGGATGTTGGGTTCCTTCCTTGTTTGCGGGTTGTTTTCAAAAGTTTGCTATGTAATATTAAATACGGAAATGAAAAAAAAAATTTATTTATTTCGTACAAAATGTTCTAATTAAATACTTATTTATGCATATTGTCTTGTTTCTTATTTACTCTTCCTGCCAATGATAGATGGGGCAACCGTGGATTTCTTGCAATAATGTTTCGGTTAGATCGTCGGTGGGAGGTTTGATTTCTGTTTTCTTTTTTGTTGCTGCCTTATCGGTGACGATGTCTAGGACAATAATTGAAATTACTACAAAACAAAATTACATGAGCAATATGCACTGAGATGAATTAAAAAATTTATTTTTTCAGTTTCAGGAAAAAGAAAGAAAAAGAACGTGAACTGAAATTTGAGATTTTCAATTTTTCGGTGATATCGGTTAGTCTCAAAGGTTTTTCAAAAATTTAAAATGCTTCTTTTTTAGTCACAAAAGGGGGTAACTGTGCCCCCATTTAACCTACACTGTATGTTTCCCCGTTAAAGAGATACCATGAATTTGAACCACCCTGTGCAAGGTTTTACAAATAGGGGGTTTCCGCAAAAACACGGAAAGTTTTATTCCACATTGTATATGAAATTTCGTTGGTGGTCCGATGAAGAGTTGGAATTCGAATTTTCAAAAAGAAATTTTGGGGTCATACTTTCAGTAACGGAAGAATAATAGTGATTAACAGGTGCTGTTGTTATGGTAGTTATTGTCACATGTCACTAAAAATATGATATACCTCTTAGGGCACAAAATGGACGCCATTTTCGATCGCGTGTGGAGTTAATGAGGTTAACTAGGCTACACCATGGTAACACGTCATTGAATAAAAATTATTCAATGCTTACTATAAAAAAAAGCACACAAGCTAAGCCCCAACAATTGCGTTTTATGTTATTTTCGGTCACAGCCAACTAAAAACAGGACCAGATAAGTTTTATCTGTGCCCATAATGTATTAATTACTGTAAAATTTTATTTATAATGGTTTATTATGGTATGGTATGGACTACAAATTTTGGAAATGGCAGATAAGCAAATTAAGAAATCATAACATAATATGGTACCCCCAGGACATCGCCATGCTGGGTTTTGGGGGCTATGCAAAAGGAAAGAGGTGAGAACGCAATTTCCGAGTTTAAACGGAATTTACTAATGTCCCAGTTTAAAGAGGGTCAGTTTCTGCGTTAAACCTCGGAAATGACAAAAATTATTTATGACTCCATGTAGGTATGCAATGATTTGGTGAAGAATATGCCACAAACACAAGTGTGTCGCGACTACGTTTTTGGGAAATGGTCTGGACAAAATGTTGGTAAATTATTGATCCGCACATAAAACGGATAAAGGCCTTTTTACACTACTGACTACATTAGCGTCTTGTTCCTATCTGGCATTGCGCTCTTATGTCTATGAGCGCGCGACGGTCCGTTGCAAAGAAATCTCACTTTCGTTCTACTTTCGAATGGGAAGTAATCAACTATGGACGAAAAACTAATGGCTATTTTTAAACAGGCAACGTCATTATAATCAATCTATTCGTTAAATAAAAATAAACTTGTAACATATTTTATTTAATGTGTAATTTTACATAGTTTATTATTTACAGTTAACTGTGAACCTAATTCTAAACTTTGGTAATTGAAAACTTAATAGTACACTTAAATAGGTAAAGTTAATTATATAAAATGGCCCATTAAATTACGAGGAAAGTCGGGTACGTTATGGGTTGGTTGCCGAGGAATTAGCTTGCGGTGCGTTTCAGGGTTTATGTCTGAAATTTGTACCTGATTGATGAACCCATGGTATATAACGCAAAATCGTAAAAAATACAACTTACCGCTTTCCCGCCGTTTTTTACAATCGCCCGCGTTGTCATAGTTCAAACGTCGCTTCCTGTTGACCGGCTCGCGCATATTTGCGGCCAACGGATCGCAACATAACCTGTCTTCGGGACGAATAAAATTATTAAATTGTATGTCGGAATCGGGATCCGCGTTGTTGTACTGTATTTCCATTGATTCGCAAATTTCTTCTGTTTGGTTTGCCTGTACGAACTGATATCCATAATAGCCGTTAGTCGATGTATGAATTCCCTTGTATTTCATCTCTTCCGTAGCGTTGCACGTTTCTTTCGATTCTTCCGTATTCATGGAAGTGGTAAATGCAAATTCATCCCTCATTCTTAATTAATAACGAGACAGAATTGACAAATACGAAAATAGTGCCGCTCTTATAATATACGATCGTCTCAGTCAAAGGACGAAGCGAGAATGCGTGCGTTGCAAAACCTAAATAAATTCTATTTCCTTGTTACTCACTCGCTTGTTTGCCAATAAAATCTAGTCACTTTCACTAAGCGGAGTTTTTCCCTTCCTTTAAGAAATAACGCAATTCATTTATTTATATTTAAAAGTGCGTTTGAGACAATAACATATTCAAATTTCCTGGCTTCTTCCCCTATATAATTGACGGTAGGAAATCGAAGCGTCTCGTTATTTTGAACTTCGATAGTGTTCGCGCTCGATCGACGCAAATCGAGTATTTTTCCTGAATCCTTTATGATTTTCGTCGACAAAACGCAAATATCGGAAAACGTGCGCTTCTTAATTATCAATATTGTTTTCTTTCGGCACACAAGTTTTATTCTTATAGGTACCTGAAAGTTGGTGCAGGTGATTTGCAAAAATGTGTATGTAGCTGTTTATTGAAACTATAAACAACATTTGGAGTATTTATATGAAATATTTGTTATCTGTTTGTGACTTGCTGATCTTATATTATTTTTTATATTGTATATACTTACTTACTTATTTTTAATAACAAACTCCTAATTACGAACGGTCGTACCTACTTTTATACCACACACAGATTGTACTACCTATCCCATAATACAGCTATTTGATAGGTAATTAGCGTAGTGTAAAAAATACTTATACCTATTAGTTTTTAATTAGAATATTTAATTAGGAGAACTCATCTGATCTATTTTACGTTTTAATTCTTCGATTATAAGTAGGTATCAGAGACGCGATTCATAGACAATATCTTTAAATTCGCGGTGGCCGGTGATAGTACCTATCACAGGAATTTTATCATCTCAATCTTTAAAAATTGAAACTAAACAAACAAAACAAAGAAGAGGTATAATGTATTTTTAGGTTCCTTATATGGGTTTGCCCTCAAAATGTGTGGAGTCTATTTATACGTAGTTATTTTAGAGCGATTTATTTATTCCGACATGTTTGTAGTCAAAATCGTGACATTTCGTCAACATTATTAATTATTATGTAATTGCCTACCAGTTGTATACTTTCATCCTATCGCTAGATAACTGCTTATGACGGTTTTCGACCAAGTAGGTAAGTACTAATAAAAATAGGTAGGTATAGGATTTATTTAATTATTTTAGTGCATTATTTTGACTCCACTTTTACAGTAAATTTAATATTAGGCTGGAAATTGTTTAGATCTTCTACTCTAGAAAATATTGTAGGGTAGGTATCTAATTCTAAAACCATGACACAAACAACAAATGTGCCGTCTATGTATCGAAACCAATTGGTGGGGAAAGTGGAAAACTATAGTTATTTCCCTCAATACAAGAAGAACAATACCATATACAATGACAATAATACTAACGCTATCATTTCTGTATTGCTTCCTATGTTCTTATTAAGGTTCCACAGCTCCACTTTTAAATGGTGGAGTTAAGATCACCCTGTATATTATGATGGAAGTAGGTATAGGTATCTTCCTTCCATAATTTATTTATGTCTTCCTTCCTGTTCGTTGCCTAGTAACATTAGTATTATATAAATAAATAGGTGCATTTTATTTATTTGAAGCCATGTCGCCCACTCAAAATCAACCACAGGACACGAAAAAAGTGGTACATAATAGGATACCAAATCCCTCGCCAAATCCTATAAAAACTTTTAAAATCATAGTTGTGGGTGATTCAAATGTTGGAAAGACGTCCTTAACGTACAGATTTTGTGATGGTAAATTCATCGAACGTACAGAAGCGACGATCGGTGTCGGTATAAAGGAGAGGACATTAAATATCGATGGTGAAGACCTTAAAGTAAGACTCCTACTCACAGTCATTATCATTTATGTTTCATTCAGTTGCAGTTGTGGGATACGGCCGGTCAAGAACGTTTTAGGAAATCCATGGTACACCAATTCTTTCGTAATGCTCACGCAGTTGTGCTAGTGTACGATGTAACAAATAGAGCGTCTTTTGATTCTTTAGTCTATTGGCTTGACGAATGTGAGCGTAATTGCATTACACATGTACCTAGAATACTTGTGGGTAATAAATGCGACGAAAAAATAGAAATTAAGACAAATCTGGCGCAGAAGTTTGCGGATCAACATGGCATGCTGCTATTTGAAACGTCGGCACGATTGGATTCACGGTGTGACAGTGTGGAAGCTATGTTTTTGACATTAGCTCAAAAATTGAAAAATCAAAAACAACCAATACCATTTGATGAGGGAAGACTACTACAAGCGCGACCATCAAGTAATGATAATAGCTGGAGTTGGAGTTGTTGTTGAAGATGGTAATTGTATTGTACTGTAAAGTACCCTATCCAAATGTTTTATAGACTTTATTATCTTTTGCTATATAAAAGTACTTATAATTGTGTATAAGAATATAGTAAAAGATTACTTAATTTTTATCTCTTGAGGATTTTTGTTACAAATTAAGAACACAATTCCACAAAAAACGTGCTGTGCACATAAATATTTTGTAACTCACGCAGGAAATCCTGTGAACTCATGTAAGACCCAATTGAAAACTATTGAAGTCAAAGCAACTCATTAAAAGGGGGTCATTTCGTCCAACGGATAATGTACTGTTTATCATTATTTTATGAGCGCCGACATTCTTAGTATCCGGGGGGTGGTTTAGGGAATCCATATACTGTGCCCTTAAAAGGCTTCTTGGACTGTACCCTCTAATTTTACTCTCACTCTCTTAGGATATGATACGTATTTGAAGAAATCTTTTAGCATTCACAGGCGTATCTTCATTCCCGTATGGGACCTGTTTTACAGTGGCACACTATATGTAGACAAGTTTCTTTCTGCTTGCACTCTGTAAAGTACCTGTACTTCGCCACCCTTATTGTGGGATGTGGATGTGTCCTTTCATCCACACAGTCACCCTATTTGTGAGTCCCATCGGAAAATGTATATCATTCCTACCAAACTTTAGAAAGTCTTTAGGTCTGTAAAGACACTGCTCTTCTTTGACCAGAGATGATGTTCCTCTAGTATTCTTCATGAGAGTGAGAGGCACCTATATCAGCTTCACGTTATTATTTTCCGCAAGCTGATGGCTTAGGTTCTGAATGGCCCAGCGCTAAACCAGAGTCCACTTTTTGCAGCCCTATAGCTTTTAAGGTCGCCTGGGTACACCCATCCTGTTCTTTCTGCTACAATAACTACCCCCATGTCCCCGCCCGCCCGTGCATCGCATGGAAAGAATCAACAAGGGAAGAGGCACAGAGTCTCCCGATATTTTCATTCATTTTGGGAAACAGAAATAACCATTTGCTGATAAGTAGATGAGGTATCTGTGCACACCCATATAATTAAAGCAATGATTTGAATTTCTTTTAATAGTTCCTGCTAATAAATTTACATGACATCTAACTCCATATACAAAGATTACCAATTGGTGGAGAAACTGAAGACTTAAGTTTCCTTGAATACAACAAGAATAAGAACAAGACACTACCGTTTACTTATAGCATTTTATTGTAGAAGAAACCTAACTTTATAAATTCTTGGGTTTTCTACTTTTAATTGGCGAAGATGGATCACCCTGTATATCGTCATCGAAGTAACCTAGCCACAAATCGTGATCACAGTGAACATAACCTACTCGTTTGACGTTTCCTATGAAAGGCCAAAAAAAGTCAAATATCTTCCTATTCTGATACAGTTACCTAGTAACATTAATCATTATATAAATAGAAGCACTTTACTTATTTGAAGCCATGTCAACCACCCAAATTCAACCACAGGAACTGAAAAAAGTGGTAGATACGATACCGAATCGAATAAAAACTTTTAAAATCATAGTTGTTGGCGATTCCAACGTTGGAAAGACCTCCTTAACGTACAGATTTTGTGAAGGTAAATTCATCGAAAGTTCAGAAGCGACGATCGGTGTCGATTTTAGGGAGAGGACGTTAAATATCGATGGTGAAGACATTAAAGTGAGACTGTTACTTATAGTCATTCTCATTGCTGTTTCATTCAGTTGCAGTTGTGGGATACGGCGGGTCAGGAACGTTTTAGAAAATCAATGGTACAACATTTCTATCGTAATGTTCATGCTGTTGTGGTAGTGTACGATGTAACAAATAGAGCGTCTTTTGATTCATTAGTCCATTGGCTTGACGAATGTGATCGTAATTGCTTTACAAACATACCTAGAATACTTGTGGGTAATAAATGCGACGAAAAATTAGAAATTAATACGAATCTGGCGCAGAGGTTTGCAGATCAACACGGCATGCCTGTAATTACTCATACGGTTAGTTTTTCTTTACATTGTCTAATTTTTTCAGTTATTCGAAACTTCGGCTCGATTGGATTCGCAGTGTGATAATGTCGAAGCTATATTTTTGACATTGGCTCATAAACTAAAAAATCAAAAACAGCTAATACCAATTGATGTGATAGGTCGGACTGAAAGACTTATACGAGCTAAACCAAGTAATGATAATAGCAGCTGGAGTTGTTGTTGAAGATTGTAATTGTATTCTATTGTAAAGTATCTATCCAAATGTGTTAAGACTTTATTTTTGCTATATAAAAGTAAGTATTTAATTGTATATAAGAATAAGTAAATCATTTATTTTTTATCACTGTGGATTTTTGTATTACAAATTGAGAACCCAGTTTCATAAATGTGCTGCGCAGAGATACACATTTATATTGACTCACATTGTAGGAAACCCTAGTCAAATCATAAGACCCCACTGTAATCCCTTGAATAATTGATAATGAATTAATGTAGGTACCTACTGGTTCTGCCATATTATTTTATGTGCGGCGACATCTATATGTGTAACTAGTACCGTTGAGTGTTCACTCGCCGCAAGTACCTAAGGTTTAATATAATAATATATTTTTGGTTTGAACTAGGAAGCTGTTCTGTCAAGAATTTGGCCCGCAGTAGTGGATGTGGACTTCGCCCTTGTTATGTAAATAGTCTAACTATTACACTCTGTTTAGTTTCATCGGATCTTGTCTTTTGGTTTATAGTCACCACACTAAAGCCACATACATAGGTAATGAATTTATATGTATATAGGATGATAATTTAATGAAGTCATTTGAAAATGAGCATTTTTTGTGGATGCACCCAGTAGTACCCATGTCATATTATCGTTGTACCCGTGTTTGCTGAGAGTGACTGAGTCGAATGACTTTCAAACCTTTATCCGTGTAGATACTGGGAATGTTCGATGAACTCTGGCTTTGTGGTTGCTCTTTAAATTGAGAGAAATGATACTATTATGCCAGATACTATTCCTGGGAGTCAACACTTTATCGATAACTATATACATTATCTCGCAATGAGAAATACCTTCGGAGATTGGATAATTGCATTGCGAATGATTGCTTTGCGTGAAGTTGATATAATAATTTATTTATTTTTATATATTTATTTTATATTATTTTGCCTTTATTTTTGAGTGGGCGGGGTTTCAGCCAAGGCTGCTCTACCCACCCAACCCACTATACATTTACAAATATCCATGCCCGAACCCGGATTCGAACCAGGGACCCTTAGCACTACAGTTCAGCTTCAATGGAACTGCGCCACACTCATTAATTATAGACATTAAATTCTAGGTTGTAAATGTAACTTCTACCAGCTTTTACTGAATTGATTAGTCGTCTTGGTACCTTGATACCTTGCACATACATCTTCACCACACCGTATATACCACAGACCATCAGTATATACTAAAACATGAATGCGACCAATCATAACTACAGAAAAACTGGCATCAGCTGTTTCTCGCCACTGACATCTTTTCCTCTCAGAAATGTCAAAATGCGTCTTAATTTCCAAATTAATTTTAGCTAAAGTAGAGTTGAACAAAAGTATTCATTGTTGGTGCAATTCCCCGTAAAGTATCATCGAATTATTTATTAAGGAACAAAAACAGAGATAACACTTGAATTTGAAAATTAGCAGGCAACCTTGAAATCCAGAAAAAATTAAATCTGCAAGGTAAGAATAGAATTGAGAGTGTTTTCCTGTACAAACAAGTTCTAAATATAGGCAATTCTCTCTTTGTTGCCAAATCCACGGGTAGGAATTAATATTCATTTCCTCATTTCCAGTACAGGTGAAAGTGTGTTACATGTTTTTTCCATTTCACTTGTGTGTATGTATCTCAAGTTGATTTTTTAAGGTAACAATGGAAGAAATATCGGATGTGGAAATGACACCTGCACCTCCTACGGTCGATACAAAGGAAGTGGTGACCAAATGGAACGAAAAGTTTGCAAAAGGCGTGCTGTCCGGTTCGCACTTGAAAGATCATTGGTGCACATGGGTGCCGAGGATGTACAGCCCGTCGATTAACGAGAGCTGCTTAAATTGGAATTTCAACGAGGACGAAGCGTATAATATCTTGTTTAACACTGTTGAGGTGTTCATTTTTAACGGCGATCCCAACGAAGTTCTCGCGCAGTTGAGCAAGTATGATAAGCCGCCTACAGTGTGCGGGCGGGTGTTCAAAATGGGAGAGCCGACGTACAGTTGTCGCGAATGTGGGATGGATAATACGTGCGTCTTGTGTGTTAATTGTTTTAAAAAGTCTGAGCACCGTTTTCACAAATACAAGATGGGCAATTCGGGAGGGGGCGGCTGCTGCGATTGCGGTGATAAGGAGGCATGGAAGAAGGCACCGTTTTGTGATATTCATATTGTCGGAACGCAGGAGGAGACGGAAGTTAGTGGAAATCTGCCGGAAGATATAGCCGATCGTGCACGCATTGTTTTCGACGCGATTTTGTGGTATGCCTACAATTTGCTGTGTTTGGAACATACTGCCGATTTACGTTTGGGAAGCAACGATGACAATTCGTTTGATATAGACACATATTGCACTGTTTTGTACAATGACGAGATACACACGTTTGAGCAGGTCATAAACACTTTAAATCGCGTAATTAAATGTAGCCAGAAGAATGCCATCGAGTATGTTACAAACATTGACAGAGAAGGACGTGCTGTCGTGAAGTGCTCCACCTTTCAGCATTGTAATGAACTAAAAATTGAGATTGAGAAGCATACGTCGCGGCACGGAAACAAAGCTTTAAAGGTTTGTGATATACCCCTGGTTGTGGAATATTTAGCGATAAGGTGTGAAATAACAACTGCATTAATATCACAATCCGAGTGACTGCAAAATTGTACATTTTTTTTACATTACTATTGCTTTTCTTGGTGTGTCCAACAACAAGCCGAGTTAATTTTTATATGGGAAAACAAACTGATTTTTGTAAACTTAGGCCACAATCCGTCAATAGTGGAGAAATGGAAAAGTTCAAAATAATAACATGAACCATTTGTGAGCCATACTTGTGTTGCCAACTTCAGGGATTTTTGTACTATTGAACTTACTACGTATATTTTACTACGTATGTGTTTCCATAACTGGCACAATTATCAAAAGTAGACTTCCACTTTGGCTTGCTCCATCACCGACACTGGCACTATCAAAATTAAGTGTGAAATGATTTGGTTAGCAACTAGGTCTGGTCTGTATTAAAATTCTGTACGAAAAGTACATAATGGTATCACTGATACTTATAATTAACATTACCGTAACATCAATTCTGACATGCATTCTCAATTTATGTTACTATTACAGGTTTTAGTCGTGCCCGCTCATGTGGTCGCCCATCAATTATTCTCCATGAAACTGTTATCGTGGCTACAACAATTTCTGGGCCATAGCGAAGGTTTCCGGAAAATATTCGCAGAGGTCGCTTTAAAATCTCAGCAGTCGACGGGTACGGATCAGTCGGTGATTAAGGGAATACTGCAGCACGACTCCCATCTGTGGAAAAGCGCGAGAACGCATTGGCACCGATTGTTTATATCCGGAATGCTGCGAGAGTACGAAAACAAGAAGGCCCTTGCCAAAGTTTTTACAAAAAATTATGGCAGCGTCATGAAGGATTTTATTAAAGATGATCACGACCACTCCTTTTCTGTTTCTTCACTTGCCGTACAGTTATTTACAGTACCGACATTGGCTCATCACCTAATTGAGGAAGAGGATGTCTTATTTCTCTTGTTGAACACGTTCCTTTCTGAGTGTTCCAGGAAATGTAATAAATTGGGAAAATTGGAATTTGAACGTAATGTTTCCAGTCAAGCTTTTAAGCGTGCCCAGTATATACTGTACGACTTGAGGTACTTATTAAGCGCAATACCCGAGAAATGGACAGATGCTCTGCGAAGGAACTTTCTCCAAGGCCTATCTGTTATGCTTCAATTGCTAACTATCATGCAAGGTATACATACTTTATTTATTATCTAGATAGGATATTGAAGTACACATTTTTTCTCTACACTCAAGGAAATCACAGTTATCTTAAAAGATACAGTGCGTTTGTTAAAGCCCAATTTGGTACAAGATGATGTTCATTGTCTCCTGGGAGAGACTACACATGCAAATAATACCTATACAGATCTAGTCTTATGACCATTTTCCACCTGTCATCTCAGCGCCCACATATTACAGCAAATTATTCACTTATTCAATTTTGTTTGTTTAATTTAATTGTATTAAAGTAAAATTTGTTTTTTTTGTGGACATGTTTAGACCTGAATCTGTGGGACTAAATAGTCACTTTTGTTTCTGGAGGGATTAAAACATTCACTTTGGGTTCTTGGTCTATAATATATGATTTCGCACCTATTCCATCAACGGAGTGGCTGAAAAGGGTTTTTTATTTAAAAAAAATTCTCTAAAAAAATCAGGCAGAAGTTTGTTTCTGTAATGGTTAAGTGGGGATAAAGAGGTCTCCTTTTTGTGACTATATAGTCCCATTAGGACTTTCTATGAGTACTTTTTTACGGAGAATCTGAATCTGTTATTAGCATTTTCATAACCCGCTAGATGTAGAAGTTATGAACGCCATACTTATTGTATTTTTACAGAATGAGATAGAGGACAAAAACGAAATTCATTTCAATGCATCGCTATCATAGCCATGTTGATTCACGTGGATGTTTTGTTGACAAATGAATGTGAAACATTTGTTTTTGAATTTTCTCTTGTAAATTGATGTGTTTTTTGTGCTCTATTTCATTCCTTAAAAATCCAATATGGCTCTTATAAGAAATAAGTAAGTAGTTCCTTGTAGCTTCTAGCGTTTTATGGAATTGCTGATAGCTGATTCAGATTTTCCAATAAAGGTGTCCATAGAAGCTGCTAGCTAGAACCGTCCATTTCTGATCGTTTACGCTAGGGATAATGAAAACAAAATTTGACATTTTCAGTTTTTTTGGTGATATTTGAGTTGTTTTCAAAGAATTTGAACCACTCTGTAGTAAGGTTGCATAGTCCAAATAAGCATGTCAACTAGAATAAATCTACAAACCTCAACATCCCCATCTTTAATCAAATAACTAGCTACTTTTATATCTATATCTGTTTCTCAGAGTAGCAGTGTTTGACATTTTGGTGAATTTCTAAACTGAAGGTAGAAACAGAAAACTTACAAATGATTTTCTCCCCAAATTAATAGATACTCGTACCGAATTGTATTTTTATATTTTGTTATAAATTTCACTTCTTTTTTTGGTCTTAAGGTGGGAATCCAGTTGTACATTAATAGTTACAAATAGACCAATTGAAATTTCGTTTTATGCGCTTAAAATACGAGGTAAAATAAGGTTTTTACCTTTACAGTAGTTACTCAAAAACCGTGTTATAAGAGTTACAGAGCAGACTACCGACAAAAAAAATGTGATTGATTAAACCACCCTACGCGCTATTAAAAAAAAATCGCATAATAGCGGTGATGAGTAAGTTGTAAGGAAGGTGTTACGCCCTTGACTGGGTTTTCAAAGTCATTCTAAGCCGTTTAAAATGAACTCATGAAACGCTTGATATCGAGAGTATCGACAAAATAAATGCATACATTAGGCTTTAGTTAATTCTCCTAATGGTGTTCAATTCCTTAATCTGGATTTTGTGAAAGGCAAATGGGCGTGGTTTGATTACTAATCTGACTTCATTGGTGGGCGGGGAATGGTGAACCTTTCCCAAGTAAGCATCAGAGTGAAAAATATTAATTAATGTATTAAAAGTAGTCGGAAAGTTAAAGTTAGGTGTTTACTAGTTTTAAAAGTATAATAATAATAATAATGGTCATTTATTGAGGGATAACACTGTACTGTACATACTAATAAACAGAATTCATGACTATTAAATAGAAAATAATAAACTAACGTCAGAGTCACCTTCAATAGGGCGAAGTTCAGATTTATGAATAGGAAGTTTCATAATCTGCTCTTCCACTTAACCCTAATACTTAACAATAATTTTTATTGAAGAAAGAATACGTCCCAAGTACAAAATTGAAATTATATTAATTAATTTAATATGAATTAGTTGGTTGTTTAACTGATTAGTGGCGTGCCATTTGCAATAAATGGCAATAATAATTTATAGATGAAGAAGAGAGGAAGTTAATTAATAAAAAAAGAGAAAAATATCAAGATAAATAAAAAACAGAAAAAAACAAAAAATAAAAGGAATTTTACTTAATTTTTTTTATTTTCATAAATAGTTTTAGTAAGGCGATGTCTGAAAGAGGCGGTCCTAAGTGTTTTTACACATTGAGGCAGAGAGTTATATAAATTACTAACGGTAAAATATATACCTAGCCCATGTGTATACATTTAAGAAAAATTCACTGTATATGCAATTGAATAATAGATATAATACATTTTTAGTTAGGCTAGGTAGATGTACCATATTTCGGTAGCTATAACGGCCATTTTGGTGGATCGATGATTAGTAGACGGGTCAACACTGGTCTGGTGCAAATCTACTTGAATTATGTTTTTTTTTAGAAAATTAGGATATGTCGGTAATACTTCAATATATGTAGAAGTTACGATGAAATAAAACAAAGTTTTTTTCTCGAAACAAAACCCCCTGGTCTCGGGAAAACGTTTGTTTATTAAAAAAATGTCTGGCGCCTCACAGTGCTGCATGCGCTCGTGCTGTCATGGCAACGGTATTCCCTAGTCGTCCATGTAGTCCGAGTCGGAGCTGTCGGCACCAGCTTGGATGGTGAGGTCCGAAACTTGTTCGATAAGGCCGCATTGGTCTATAACGGTCTTCGTGCGCGTAACGATAGAACGCCAACGTTCCGGCGCACGGTTCCACATTTGGAGGAACTTGCCGTCACCACAGCCAACCTTACCTATGTGATGATCATAGTGGTCTGCGCCTACCAAAAATTAAATGGTAAAACGGTTACATGTAAATATGTCTTGAAATTTGCTTGCGCCCAAGCGTAAAACTTCGTGGCCCTGCGCGCGCAAGTACTAATCCACCTTGTCCTACTTGGTCGGTGCAATGTTCGTACCAGGGCAAGAGCTTCGGTTTGAACATGCCAACCTCAAAAGTGATTATTATTTTCAGTTTCATAGGTTTTTAAATATTCGATTTTTAAATTAGAAACCTTTCTCAAATTTTGAATAACTTTTCTCTCTTCTATAGGTATGGACAGTGTTGTACGTCAAGTGGGTCAACATATGGAGTACGAACCAGAATGGGAATCTGCCTTTAATTTGCACATCAAGTTGGCTTATTGCATTTCTCTCGCAATTAAATGGTGTAGTACTGATAAAGTCGTGTTGGTGAAAGCTTATCGGCTTTGCTTAAAGAAGTTGTACGAAAATCCTTGCTATGATCCAAACGAGGCCGGAAAAGTACGCGAACTTGTAGACCACAGTGTCACTTGTCTCTCATACGATGTCTCTACGAAAGCCGTTTCAATTCATCTTTCGCTATCGCGATTTTTGGCTGGTTTACATCTTCATTTAGAAAATTACGGGTTAAATTTTGATAGCGCCGAATTTCAAATACCAAAACCGACACCTGTACAGATAATTGAACCGGTCCTACGCACACAAGTAATGATCGCGCAGGTACATGCTGGAATGTGGCGAAGGAATGGATATGCGTTACTTAACCAACTGTATTTCTATCACAATGTTAAATGTCGAACGGAGATGCTTGATCGGGACATTCAGTTACTTCAGATCGGAGCATCTCTGATCGAAAGTAACGAATTTCTCATACATCTCCTCAACAAATTTAACTTAATCAATTGGGCAAACCCCAACTTTGAAATACGAAGCCTGAAAAGTCCAGAGGAGGATAGCATTCGCCAGATTATAAATATTGTCGAGGAATTCTTGCAGTTGGTAATCAGCATTGTAGGCGAACGGCATATTCCCGGAATTAGCGATCTTACAACTCAAGATCGCGTTAAAAAGGAGATTATTCAGCATTTGTGCATAAAACCATTGCCACATTCGGAATTGAACAAGACTATTCCGGATGATCTTACTCACGAAACAGGCCTAGATGATGTGATCGAGGAACTGGCTGTGTTTAAAAAGCCGACGCAAGGAAGCGGTCGCGGAGTATATGAATTGAAAAATCAATATTTTGACGAATATAACGTATTTTTCTATCATTATACTCGGGAGGACTTGTCCAAATCCGAAGAAACGCAGAGAAAAAGGCGCAAAACAGACGGGGAACTGGACTGCTGTCCTCCATCTAATTTACCCAAATTGAAAGAGTCATTTAATATGATTGTCAATTTGTTGCAGTGCGATGTAATGTTACACATTATGCAAACTGTACTGGAGCGCTGTCTCAATTTGAAGGCAAGGAGTTTCTCGGAACCCCAGTTGCATAAAGTGTTGCACCTAATTGGTTACGCCCTCCAGGAGGAACAATCGCGCAACTATCCCTTTTTATTGTTCGCCGAAAAAGCGGCAAAATGGGATTTACCCAAATTCCTTGAAGCCCTTATATCGAGTCCGCGTATAGACGCGCATAAAGATCTGTTGCGCTGGACTCTGCAGAAATACAAGCAAGTGGCGGCTATGTCGGCGCAGGGCGATGCTCCGTCAACGAGCACGATGGAGACATCGGCGGATTCGTCCGTCATACCGGACGAGGACGAAAAGCAACGAAAGGCGAAATTGGCCGCCCAAAGGAGAGCTAAGATCATGGCGCAAATGGCCGCGATGCAAAATCAGTTCATGAAAGAAAACGCTAAGTTATTTGAAGAGACGCAATCTGAAATACCGAATAATGAAATAAACGAATTCGCCATGGAAACTACAGAAGTTGTACCTGATAATCCTGTCTGCTTAGGTCCCAAACAAACTGCGCGTACAAATATCGAAAAAACTTACACGTGCATTTTATGTCAAGAAACGCAAAAGTCTACAGTAGAGGGTCCAGCATTAGTATTGGCGGGTTTTGTTCAACAGGCTACAGTACTGTGTACAAACAGAACCGATGGCGAAGTCCAACAATTCTCGGACGACCCTCTCTTTTTAAATTCAAATTGCGGTCCTGCGCCCTACACCAGCACTTGTGGCCATGTAATGCATGCGGAATGTTGGCAAAAGTACTTTGACAATGTGATGGTGAAAGAGCACCGTCGTCCATATCGTTTAAGACACCCCGCCAGTTTTGACATAGATAAGCGAGAGTTCTTGTGCCCTCTATGCGAATGTCTTAGTAACACAGTTCTGCCACTAATTCCTGGTTTATCGTCAATTCAACAGAGTCACGCTAAGAATGAAATTACGTATGCCGATTGGCTGACTTGCATTGTTGCAACAGTAAATAGCAAGGTGAAAGCATGTCATGGTGCAGATATGTGCACCAATCTTTATTGCAGCACATGCGAATCTGTGGCTAAAGGAATCTTAAATTCTGAAAATTCGCCCCAGAATAATTGTGAAGCAGATTGTAAGGACCCCAAACAATGTATCTACTTTTCCGCGCCGATCAAAGACATTCAAATGGGTACGAACGGTAAAGATTTTGTGGCGCTATTTCCACAAGAGCATCCGACGATAAGTCCTCATTTAGTAGAAATGATACACCTGTTCATTCAGGCGCCGTACACGAGAGGTCTTGCAGTTGAGCCGCATCCTTCAGAACGAAGGTTACCGTCCATGACATGGAAATCGCTAGCATACACCTTGCATACCATTGAGGTGCTTTTGCGAGATTCCAACAAACCTTTATTGGGCCACCTTTCTAGTCGTCATCGAGATTGTTTAGAGAGTTTAATTAGGATTACAGGCATTCTGGGAAGCACATGGCAGCATGTTACTGTTATAAGCAGCCACGCATTACGTTTACTGTCGATGCTGGTAGATCATCAACATGATGACTATTCCATATTACAATGGGATTCACTAGGATTATTAGTAGCATTAACATTCTCTTTGCCCAGTTTGTTTGGCACGTCTCAACCAACGCCCGTTCCAACAGGTGGTTCACTCGATTTGCATACTCTGCAATTAGTGTTTACTGCACACATTGTTAAAATATTGATTGTAACAGATAAATTTCAAGAAATAGCAAAAATGGACACAGACAGCCAGGAAATTCATCTTGAAGACGGCTTAGAAATAAGAAATATTTTGATAATGTTGGGCAAGTATCACGAAAATGCTGAAGCCGTGTGGGATTACGTGAAAAACGCCAGCTTACCATTTTTGCGGTGTTGTGTCTTATTCTACCACATACTCACTGACGTACAGCCATTATTCGAACTAACTGAAATTGGGGGAGATACATTCGAAAATATGTGTGCTTATCTTGGCTTACTGACGACACCTGAACAGCTGTTCGGTTCAAAAGTCATTGCCCCTCTCGTATATAAGTGGTGCAATCATGACGAAGTAAGAAGTTATCTTTCTGGTAACCCACTACCTTTTAGCAGTATAGAAGAGCCCCAAACAATAAACCAGTTGATCGACCTACCTAATGATTACAGTGAACTAATCAACACAGTTTCTTCATTTACATGCCCAAATAGTAATCATGAAGATTCGAGGAATCCGACCATGTGTCTCATTTGTGGGGAGATTCTATGCTCTCAAAGTTACTGTTGCCAAACTGAATTAAATAAAACAATCGTAGGCGCTTGCAATTATCACGCCTATAAATGTGGAGCGGGAATTGGAGTATTCCTTCGCGTTCGCGAATGTGAAATATTGTTTTTGGCCAGCCCTATGCGAGGATGCTTTGTGTCTCCGCCTTACTTGGACGAATATGGCGAGACAGATCAAGGTTTAAGACGAGGAAACCCCTTACAATTATGCAAGGAGAGGTATAAGAAACTACACACTCTCTGGTTAAGTCATAGTATTCACGAAGAAATTGCGAGGGCTATTGAATCTAGTACCAACGTCGTAGCTACTCAATGGCAACATTTGTAAATAATAATTACGTTCGTTCTGTAATTAGAAAACTTACACGTAAACACCTTTTTGTTTTCCAAATTAGTCCACTCCAAATTGACCGTGTTGTCGGAGGCAATTCAACTTATATAAATTCGACTGATACATTTGAAATTATTACACGCCTGGTTTTTGTAGCAATGTAAATCTATGAAAATACATACGTTGAAATACTCATATCACCTAAATCAAGTGAGTTATACCAACAATGATACATATGTAAGACTATACAAAAATGTACTTCTTAAATGCATATTTTATTCATATTTAAGTTATTAAGAAAAATAAAATGTTTAAATTATTGTGTGTCTTTTAATTATACTTCCGTTGCACAGTTACTTTTTTAGATTGCAAATTATTAATCTAAATTATTTCTGTTTGAGCTTTAATTAATTATTGTTCAATAAACAGGCTTTATTAGGATTATTTCTGTAAGAGTTCCCGACAGCTCATTTTTCAGGACTTACGCCTACAATCCGACGTGATTCAGAAAAAATGCTTTTGCGCTATCCGCGTCGTAGCCAATGTCCCAGTTATGCCTAACAAGGTTAAAAACGTTGTACATACCCCTGTTCCATTCCAGGCTCGTCCCATGTTTTTTCACAGGCCCGTAAGTCCCTCACTTATTTGTTATTTTAGTCAAATGTACCTAGTTTTAGTAATCTAACGAAGCGACCATTTTTTGCCCTGAAGTTTAATACCCGAAGTTATGATGACACCGTATATTTGTGGAGTCGACCAGCTTTGCTGAACATCCAGTATTTAGAACCGTTTTAAGTTGGCCGCTTCGTTTTACTAGAAATCGTAGTTTCTTAATTTACTTATTTGCTTTAGGAGACGAGGAGTGAGGTTTTGGTTTTCATTTTGTTTAATGGGGTCGGGCTTCATTTTTTATTTCTGATCCACAAAGTACATTAAAAATAAAAAGACCCGTGTGTCCTCAATTTTTATTTGCGAGTAAAATAAACCCAAAATAAATTATTGAAAAGCTGTGTTTTTAGTCCGAATTTGAAACGCTTCAGACTAAATACGTCACAAACCTACAACCAATCACGTAGAAGTGAGCTGGCAACCTTACGCGAGGGTCTGACGTTTGTCACATTTGACGTTTTGAGAGGAATGTTTAACTGCATCTAGCACGAAAGTGACAAGTGCCTGTGACAGATGACGCAAGTTATAAATGCCATTCTCCTGCAATATTGCCAAGTCGTTATGTCATCTGAATGGTTCTAGGTGCTGATTGGTCGGGCTTATTAGGTCACAGAGCCCGCCACAATCATATCGTTTTGAATAAACCTTTAAAACCGCACATGTTCATTATTTTTTTACTAATCGGCCTCTATTTTTAAATAAACTTTTACTGTCCAAAAAAATGTTTTATGGTTTCAGGTACACGCTTATTAAATTAGAACTGCGGAATTCAACTATACTGTAAACCCCCATTGTTTTGTCTTACCTCCGATAACGCACATAAGTTTTGTAGTGAATTTATCCGTTTTGCAACTGCCTGTAGGATTTTGCAACCGCTCTTTCTAGAGAAGAAGAACACAATTTAATATTTTATGCCTAATTTCAAACATGATATGCTATCATCCATCCACCATCACATGGATTAGATGGAAGAGCAGAAATGGTATGTATGCTTCATTCCATTACTGAATCTCGCCCTTTGTACACATTTCTATGTAATTTAACCTAGGTACTTTTTAAAGACTATTATTATTATTAGCAGGTTTCGATTCTTATGGTAAATTTAAAACGAGCATTATAACAGCTATAAGGTCGTGCAGTTTTCGTAGATAGGTATCAGGTGATATCTTGACTTCGCCAATTGCACTTAAATTCAAAATAAAATTACAAGCTCGTTTTTCGAAACTTCCGTCCTACAAATCAAGGCAGAATAATTAGTGACAATTAATTTTCGTTATCATTAGAAGCAGTCGGGAGAGGTGCTGCTGGATGCGCTCTAACTTTTCCAGATGTTTGCAAGTTGTCTCATATTTTTTCGATATCTGTGAAAGGCGAGTAATTAAATAAAAACAGTTTAACTTAGTTGAACGAATTTCGTAAACGGTTATGTTATTTTTCTACGTTAGTACTGTAGAATTATTTCCCAAATTTGTTTTTTTGCCGCCCCTAAAAATTTTCCGCTATGGGCCCGGGCCTACATGGCCCCATCGTAAATCCGGCCATGGCCATATATAATAAAATTTTGTATGTACTACGGGTATTACTTGATGCTGGGCGACTTTTAAGCCCAGAGGTTCTCGGGTTTGTAAGCGTGTCGCCCTCGGGAGGGCATAAACATCCTAATAATGCCTGTAATACATAAATAACTATGAAGTATTATCAAATGATACTACCATACTAAAAGTAGGTATAGCATTGTATTACAAAATAGTCTACCAACGACGAGAAGTGGGTTTTTTAAACGTACCTACGTCAAATGTGACATTTCGCTGATCATATTCAAACAGCGAAGTTGCTAGGGACAAAGAAGCGGAAAACAGGCAGATAAATTTTTCTTCTCTGCTTCCTTTCCACTTCTCTGCCTCTTTTGATTTCTATGCCTGTGTTGACTAGCCGTTTATATACAAGAATTTCCAGCATAGGTACTAATAAAAAAAAGTTGGTGTTTACTACGGACGAGTGAGATCCGCTGACACGTCGAAATTTCCGTACGAAAGGCGCCTCGTACGTAAAACTTTCGACTTGTCAGTGAAAAACTCATTTTCCTACTACCTCTTAAGAAAATATCATTTCTCGCCCCGTTTTGAGGGTCGAAAGCTGCACTTTTCCTCCCAGGGAGGAAAAAAGTTTTTCCTCCCTCAACTCCATATATATAACTCTCGCCAGGAAAGATTCCCGGTCACAGAACACTTAATCCCGATCTACAATCTCTGTTTTTCGTAAGGTGCTAGCGACTTCCGGGATAGTATCGTGTCAATGTTGAATGAAAAGACTTTTTGTTCAACATTAGCACGATCCTATTCCAGAAGTCGCTCGCATCTTAATAAAAACAAAGATTGTAAATCGACACAAGGTGTGCTGTGACCGGCAATCTTTCCTGGCGAGAGTTATACGTAAGCTTATAAGTAAACAAAATACCCTTCAATTACAACTTTTATTTATATGTACTTGTTATTCTCAGTGCTAGTAGAAGAACCGAAGTTAAAGGTGCAATTAGTAACATTGTTGAAAGTAACGTTACCAGAAAAAGTTGAGGAAGATTGATTGACATTGAAACCTGTACTTTCAATGTTTGTAGAGTACATTTGATGTTCTCCAGAAACCTTTGTGGAGGGCATTCCGCATATAATTTGGTTAGAAACTTTACTTTTTTTACGATTGATTCTTCTAAATAGCCCTCGGCTACGTTGGTAGAGCGCCATCCTCAATACCTCTTTAAACTCGGATAAATCTCCTCCAGCATCAACCAACAAAGACGCGGAGGCCGAAAACTATGCCCAGTGTAACCTTCTGCATCTGGTAGCTCGAGGTACTTTGCAATTTTATATGGTATTTTGGCAATTGTATTTTTCCCTATTAGTCCAGGCTAAATATAGCTCTAAATGATTTATTTTCAAAAAAAATTAGTTACCGGGCGAAACCGGGTTTTTCAGGCAGGTGAAATGAATAGAAATTGGGAAAAAATAATTAAAACAGCTGAATTTTTCCGCGGGTGAAATTACGGGGGTTGAAATGGGTGGAAAGTGGTATTTTGCAAATTGTGACAAAACTATTGATTTTAGACGAAAATGTTAAATGTAAAAGTTATAGAGATTAAAAAAATGAGCAACTTTTGTATCTACACTATTTTCACATTACCTCAAATTTTCCTAGAAAAACCGGAAAAACTGTTTTTTTCGTTTTTTATTCTTATTTTTGCGAAAAAATGTCGTAGGGGTTTGAAATTTGGAGGTAACATAACCTGTTTTATGACAAAACAGAAGATAATTGTTTGGGCCTATAAAGTTGAACCGTTTCCAAGATCTTATTTTTTCTGTAAAAAATCACCTCTTTTTCAAGGGGATGAAAAATCTATTTTTTTTCATCGTACAGATGTGCGCGGGGTAGCAAAATTTTCGTAACGACTTACATTTTAATAATCAAAAATAAAAAATATTATTCCAATAGAAAAATTTCAAGAAAAGCGGCAAAAACGGGAGGAACAGTTTTAAGATACACCGTTTTTGACAGTAGGTAAATAGGCTTTTTTGCAAATAAATTAACGTGTTGGATCCGCGCTAATAAACAGGTTTGGAAATATGTCTTCTCTCTCCTCTTTAATGTTGCTAAAATATTTTCTTTTGTTTCCCAGTGCCCAACTGCCTTCATTAAAGCATCTTTATTATTTATTTTTTCTGCATTTTTACCGCAATAAAAGCAATTTGAAGTAAAATCGAATTCTTTTGCTTCCTGAACAATATGTTTTTGTTCACTAACCTTTCTTCCTGCCTGTTTTACAGCTGATGGGATTAAGCTGGGCCTGTTGATCGTTAATTTACAGGAATTAATCCTCATAAAGTTTATTCCTGCAGGTTTGACATCCCAAATCATTTGCTTTTGGCCGGTAAAACCAACGTTCTTATTGCAGATTTTGCAAGTTTATCTATCAACAGGCCCAACGCAATTGCATCAGCTATAAAACAAGCAGGAAGAAGAGTCAGTGAACAAAAATAAATTGTTCAAGAATCAGGAAGCAAGATACATATAATTCGATTTTATTTCGAATTGCTTTTATTGCGGTAAAAATGCAGAAAAAAGAAATACCTAATAAAGATGTTTTAACTAAAACAGTTGAGCATAAGATAACAAAAGAGAATATTTAGGCAAACATTAAAGAGAAGGAAGAAGACAGATTTCAAAAAAATGTTTATTAACATCCAACATGTTGATTTATCATGTCAAAAAGCGTGTATATCTTAAAACTGTTAAAACCCGGTTTCGCCCGGTAACTAATTTTTTTCATACAAAAATATTATATAGCCTGGACTATATGACTTGGATGGTGCACTTCCTTTTCACGTAATCAACAAATAATCTTGTATGTTCAGTTTTAACAGAGCGCAATGAAACATATTTTCTATAAATTCCATGTACCTACACTTGTTCCATTAATGGTTTCGTTAGTGATTACAAATGTTCTTTGCTTTTTTGTTTTGCTATCGGGTATTTTCACAACTAATATGTCTCCATATT